TTTAAATTTCCTGATTCCAATGTTAGGACCACTCTCAACGATCTGCATGCAATTGTCTGCTTACAATCCATGCTTTCATCCTATACAATTCTATACCCAGTTACTAAGAAAGCACTTCCTAGATATTATCCATTCTTTCCGAAAAAATTCAGCATTATAATATCATACTACCAATTTATGATAAGGAAGAAATCCTGGGTTATTGATATTTGATTCCTATATCCATACTGAAAACGTTCCTCTCTCATTTCTTTATCTTAGCGATTAAGCACCATGGTAAGTCAGTGTTGTCAAAACATTACGACAGCCTAATTGTGACATTGTTTAAACTGAATAGGAATTATTGAAATGCTTTAAGAGGTGAAAGGTGATGAAGAGTTTTACGATGGTCAAAACGATTTCATCGGGGACAATTTTCCATGCCTTGAGACCAAGCAAAAGACACGTACTCTTCGCAATTCCTTGTCTAATTCGTGTAAATGTTTCTTTTGTTCATATTTTGTCCTAGTTTGGAGTTTGAATAAAGATTATGTTGTCATGTCGGTGTTACCGCTGTTGTCTTCGAATAAATCTTGAAAAGGTCTCGGTTTTCGGGAGTTAACAGTGCAGGATTTTAAAAGATGGCGGTCGATGAAGAATATGAAAAAAATAGTCGGGAAATAATCTGATTTCTGTCTAATGTGTCCGATGTTTTTCATTTGAGTATATCGAGTAGTTTAAATGAAATGCACATTGTTCTCCTTCGAGGACATGGCAACATTTTCTTGAATTGATACATCTGTAGATAGTTACCTACCTGGCGGATGTTGTTTGGAAGCCCTGCGATAATTCTCAATGGGAAGGTATACTTTTTTTCTGCACATTTTTCACACACTGATTTCGTCGATGTTATTATTTCTGCTAACGTATGTGTCAGTCGACAGCCTTGGCATGTAATTAATGCAAAATAGGTCCTTCGTGATGTGTCTACATATGTGGTAACTTGGAGTGAATATGTTTAGCATCTTTTGCTATTAATATGTAACTAGATTAAACAATTATTGGAAACAATATACTGTACAAATATTCTGTGTGTATTGTTCAGGCTCTTAAAAAAATCACGTGTGCATAAATCTGAGAGCAATCTACTAGCATTTCCTGTATGGCCTGTATACTTATCAACGTCGATGCAGATCATACGTGTTCTATTGAATTCATTAGTAACGTTGTTGTGGTGTCGGTAGAAACCAAAATCTATATAATTACATTTCCTATTGTCTTAAACTTAATTCATTTCCTAATGGAGAAAGTTGACTGTGTGCTTTGTTCTAGAAGGAAAAATCCAATGGTTAATCATTCAGAGACATAACTGTAAATTCTAAGGTACATTTGTTCGCACGTAAGACAGTTGTTTTATATGCTCATGAAAATGCCAGTATAGTCATAAATAGTACCAAAAAACGTGATTTGAAAAAAAATGCTGAAATGCCCGACGAAATCATCATCAAAATAAGTATCAACTACTTGATCATTCTCTTATGTAGGCCTAAATATGTTCGATGCAGATTTCGTGCGATATGGAAGCTGCAATATCTAGTCGAATTTTGTTAGTATGATATATTTGTGTGTGTACATATCAATTGGCACCTCTCTAATGTGATATACGACCTTATTGAACTGTTCCAACACCAACCATTATCGAGATATCATCGCTGAGCCAAGCTTTGGCACATCGTCCTAACGTAATGCGTGCCTACGTTTAGGCTTACACTCCTCAAACTAGTGTCGTGATTGCTTTGGCCGGGTCATCGGCAACTTGTGGCTTTAAATTAAAACTTTCCAAAACACTAATACTGTAAGCTTTAATTTAAGCATTCTATACATCAGGTTAATACACCTGGCTACGTCAGATTTCTCTTATATCAATGTGTTATTAATTCCAGAACAGGAAAACTTCGAGAGACCAAACCAAGCATTGCGATGCAATACAGTCCGTACCAAAGTCCATTATCAAATACTGAATATATTTTGAAAAAAAATTATATTCATTTTGTTTTTAATTGCTTCATTTAACCATTTCTATGATACAATAATTAAATTGAGCTTTTGTGGTATATTTTTGTTACCACATAAAAATAAAGCAAGCTGTTCCGTATGTGTGCACATATTATGACATGTACAACAACTGCAATAATGTTATAGTATAAACCTATATTGTACTGCAGGCACAACTGAAAGTACATTCTGTTGGCAGAATGTGTAAAACTATCAATGCAAATATAAAAGTTTTGTATTTTGTTGCGTATATTTGACCCGTGAAGGAAAGTAAACCTTATGTCAGGTGGCGCAATGGTCACGTATTCGTTTTTAATGTAGATGTCCGGGGTTCGATTTCCTGACTGGAAGTGAAAAGGTATGGGATTACCTGCTCGGAAATTTCAGGGTTCCAACTCCCTATCAGACTCATCACGTGATTCCATTGGGGTCATCATGAGAGTTTACCAAAAGCTGATACATGCAGCTTGTTTTATAATTGTTGTAAACTATGTTTGTATTTACTTTAACTATTCAGTTGATTTGATTTGCATGTGGTTCACTTCCCTTCATCAGTGCATACAATCAACAAAGAAGACTATATACCCTGAAATAATAAAAAAATTGTAACGGGCTCAGCAAAATTAATACAAGCCATCATAAAAAAATGATATCATCATAAATTGAAGAGATAAACGAGTATTACTCTTTCTCTCTTATTTGTTTCAGAATGTACCTCCCAAAAATTCGGACGAGACTGCAACCAGACGTGTAATTGTAATAACTCTGGCTGTGACAGTAGGAGTGGGATATGTACTAAACATGGATGTTCTAAGGGATGGATGGGAGATATGTGTAACCAAGGTATTTGCCAAGTGATACTATTAAATCCTATTCCTACGTACAATTGGCAGTTAACACTTGAGTGACTACGTTATAAATTTTGTGATTCCATAGGGTTTTCAGCATTACTTTAAAACTTTATTATATATACATTTTACTATCACTTTCTCGTTTATTTCGATGTAAACCATATGGAAGTATACCAGGTAATACCCGGTGGTTAAGTGAGACATCCACTAAAAAGTAATCCTAGTATATATAAATATAATATCTACATTCGTGGTTGCATTCACCAATATACGTGTCATCATTAATACGCCAATTTGTAGCATTGGATATTTTATAAATCTTTAAAAAAATAAAAAAACACTGATTTACAAAATATTAGCAAACATGTAATTTTGCCGAAAAATCCTTACTATTAGCATAACATAGAAGATTATCAAGTTTGTTAACTTCGTCTGCTAGACGTCGACCTGATTGTCCAAACATACAAACGACGATAACAAGGAACAAAACACAAAGTATGATTACATAAAGTAATGTCGACAGATTGAATTACATTGTATGTTTATTGATTTCTTTTGTGTGCAATACACTAATAGATTAGTATCCTTAGTGAAATATGCAATAGATATACTTTATTTGCTGTAAGGTTAAGAAAGGAACAAAACTCCGTCAAATAAGCCACACATAAAAAATAATGTATCATTTATCTTTTTAATAAAGATTGTGTCAACAACACCTTTGGACGAGACTGTAACCAGACCTGTCATTGTGCTAAATTCGGCTGTGACAAGGGGAGTGGGATATGTACTAATTCGGGATGCAAGGAAGGATGGACTGGACAGTCGTGTAGTCAAAGTAATGATTGGCGTTAGCCAATGATTCATTCACGTTCAATAACCAAAATAATAAATTTTCTATTAATATCCTAATAATACAACCGGAATTGTTTCATCTTTTAACATTAATATATAATTACTATTTTTTGACTATTCGTGTCGGTTACAAAAATAGGCTCGTCATTGCATCAAAAGTATAAAATGTATTGATATCAAAACTAATTTTGAAAGTTCAGTTCGATATTCCTCAACTAGACTCATTTGCACATTATACTAAAATGTATGAATTCATTATCATACTAATAACCATTGTTACCTGTACATATTAAAAATTAACCAAGAAGACACATATTCCTATAATTCAGAGTCTGGAATAAATTAACGTTAATATTTCAGTTTAAAGTAATATACTTGCGATAGGGATTATGTTTATTACAATTACAATCAATATTGTTGACAATTATATTTGTTTTGTTAGTAGCAATGCACATACCGGTTGGTTAGACAGGAAAGCTTAGCTCTTCACTATGATAAATACGCCAATATCAAGACATCATTTGATGGCTTTTCTTAATGTACGAACAGTTTCCTAATCATTGCCATACCATTCCATGCAACACTTTCCAAAATTATCTTATCGTGCTTCAGAGAAACATCGATAAATGTTCAAATGTGCATCAGTCTAAGAAAAAGATCGAGCTTTATGAAAACGCACATACAAAAATCATCATTAATTACCAACACCCGCGAATTACAATCCATTTTTTGTGTGTTGCTGATTCCAAAGGACCCAAGATGGGCTGGTGGTGGGCCTATAATGGGGTGACATTGTTTTCCTGTTTGAAACAATTGCATGGTTTGATGCCATATATAATTTTATAAGTATATATGTCATCAAGTATATACAGGGAATCAGGCAAGTGAAGTTGATAATCTATACTCAACATAATGCTGCTTTTCTAGGGGTTCAGCAAACATTATCCGTGATCATGATTGGAATGTATTAATTCATAAATATTTGTTTTATTGTCTTAACTTTATTTCCTTGAAGAGACCTTAACGAAATGTTTTTATTCTTTTTTATTTAATTTTATTTTATTGTAATAACTCCTTTCTTAATTTTATGTTTGATATCAATTGTTGGTTGGTATCGGAATCTTCGTTGATTTAATGTAGTGGTAAGAATGTTGTGGAGTTCGAAGTAAACTTTCATCTCGATCAGGATGTAACGAAAAAAAAAACAAAAAAAAACATAGGAAATACCGAAATGTCACTGAATTTTATTCAAACTCATTTTCCATGAAAATATGGTTCCCGAAAAAACATGATCCGCTCACCCACCTGCCGGGGGATTTGGATACGTATAAGAAAAAGAACCAGGTGTTCCGGCAGGGTAAGCGTATGCTGCTTCCACGACGATACCCGTAAGGTTGTTCTTGGTCGATCCAAGTAAGGAATGTCACGTTCCAAAATGAAAACAAGATAAACAATAACGGAATTGCCAGGCAAACTAACATGATGCATATTTTTAATGTGATAGTACAAACTAAACAGTATGAGAAAAGCCCGTCTGGAAGCAGTGCTGCGATCGGAGGAAGTGTGGCCGCTGTTGTAGCTGTTGTGATTGTTATTTTGGTCGCATACATTGTTGTAAGGTCAGTATTCAATCGTTTCTCCGACAGTTATTACCGAAAAAACTCAATTCAATGTGTAATTAAAATTTATAATTTGTTCATTTTTTAAAAATGCAGAAAAAAATTCTAGGAACAAAATGGTTAAAGAATATTAAGGTAATGTTGTTGACAATGCTATTACGTCAAAGGTTTCATGTTGAATTGCATTTTTCAGGAAACGCAGAAATGCTAGCAAAGAAGGGCGTGAGAGTAACAACTACATACCACCCAATCGGCGTTCTAGTAGAAGAGGTACCTTTAACCCATTGTTCTACACTTACAAAAATATGTACATACGGTACACATGTATATACATACTCTATAAAATATATATAAGTGGCGGTTGCCAGGAATAAATAAGGCGCGTCAAGGTGACAAAAGGCGATCTCCACTTCTTTATATCAAGAAATAATTCATGAATTATATTTTCAAATTCAAAAATCTTTCGGATTTATTAGTAAACATCAAACTAATCACTTTTCAGTTATTCATGTTCTTGTCTTTAATGACTCCGACCTAAAACCGTATAATTGGTCATCATTGTACATTCAACGACACATAAGTTTCATTTAGCATTTCCCTTGAATATCCACGGTATATTATCGTCTTCGACACAGGGAACTATATGTAGTTGCTCAATCTACTTAATACATAGATATGTTTAGCATTTGTAATCGATACGTGTGATCAATGTTATTTTCACCTTTGTAGAATACAATTTGTTTAACTTAGATATAAAATATATAACTATGATGTCTTGAATACGTTACTGCAAGAAATTCTTAATGACGATAATTTTTTTTTGAGACTTAATAAATTCCATGTACAGTATAGTGTCACTGCTATGGAGAATTCAAATAAAACCGTGTAATGATAATGAAAGAATGCATTTGTTTGTAATGACCGACATCGTGACACAAATAACTGACACAAATGCTTGCTGTTATAACTTAAAATATTAAGTGCTTTCTTAAATTAATTTATTAATATTAATTTATTCGTCTTAGAACCAGACATTTCAGGGGTTGTCACATCACTGTATAATATTGACAAAGTTCATCTGATCAGTAAAGGGACCGTTTTAAAACTATTTTCTAATGTATAGTTAGTTGATATTAGGCTCAAATTAATTTTAACATTCTGTACAATTCACATCATTGTATACGTCGATTACAAAGATACCTGTATTAGTTAATCTAAACGTCACAAAAGAGATCAAGAGCAAGCAGTGATTAAGTGAAACAGTAGTATATTAATAATATTCTGTATTTTCATCGTTATAATAATTATGATTACAAGCTAATTAATGATATGTATATATATACTTACAACTGAAACGTCTAAAATTTAGGAAAAGACATATATCAATTACCCGTAAGCTGTGTTTTAGCCTATGTTTGTATTGGTAAAACATCAATATATATGTTCCTTATGTATAATAACTGAAGTGGGAATGTGTTTACATTTATCATGATATCTCTCCTTCAACGCTGATTTCAAGGTCCATGTAAAATCATAAAAAAGACCAAAGGCTACCATAAACTATTAAGAAGTATTGCAACATGCATAAAACCATTTATTTCAATTTTTAAATGATGAACAGTAAACGTTGGTAATATTTGATTGTGATGAAGGGGATAACTCCACACAGCTTGGATTGGAATTCAGTGTATATTTCATCATATAAACCTTGTAAAATGTCCCAATGTGGTTAGATCATATAATCCAATCAAGACGTTTGTATATCAGTTGTGGTATACTGGCTATTTTATAACATCAAAATAGCTATATTGTATGCAAACTCATTTAATTATTGTTTTCTTTTTTTAAGGAACTTTGTTTTCTTCTCTTTGGCGGTCGTTGCCTATACATGATTCAAACATTAAATTTTTTACTAAGACGTTCAGTTCTGATTACCAAACAGAGAGGTTTTCAATATTGCTTTCCATAGACAACGGATATTGGAAATTATCAACTCCATTTATTCGAGTAATAGGTCTAGTGCATATAAGCATCTAAATTTTTGTATTCCCCAGTTGCCTCATGCGTTCAAGATTTAGGCCCTTAGCATCATTGTCCTAGAAGCACCAACATTCGTATGAGGCAGTTTAATTTTATATTGGACTCTTTTGCACAATCTGTTGTTATCTTATGACACCTTATTCTTATCTATACTTCAGATGAACACGTATATGTAAATGTTGTTACAAGTGACTGCAAGAATAGAACATCATTAGCGGTTGAATCAGCAAACGTGAATGAGACTGACATTGACGAAGACGAGGTTATTTATGTCAATGGCCCAAACGACATAAAATTGCGAGGAGAAACCAAAATTTTAGTGTCTAAATTGAAAGAAGTTGTAACAACTAAACACGAAAATGAAATGTACGAGGTGGAGTTTAAGGTAACTAGTAAAGGGGAACTAAACAGCACAAAATGATATAAAAACTATGTGTAAACTCATCTGGTGATAAACTCTATGACAGTATGTTAATGATAAATAATATTGCATGCATGAAATTTTCAATGTAAGCCATATTTAGATAAGACAACAAAACGCAAGGAACGTTTCCTCATCACATTAAATGTAGCATATCAACCCTGCATATACTTGCCTTCTTATTATGATTTCTTTTCTTTTTATCTACATATTTTCTTTCCTTTTTAATTTCTGAAACCATTGTCCTTTCATTTCGATTATGTCTTTCAGAGTTTACCGCATGGCTTGAAACATCCGCACGAAACATCAAAGCTGACACAAAACTTACAACTGAATAGATTCAAAACTACATTTCCGTGTAAGTTGTTAGTAGTATATCAGATGTACAAACACAATCAGTATTAACAGTTTAAGTTCATAGCTGTATAGATAATGGTGGTTAATCAAATTAAGACCTTTTTTGGAACAAATTCTGTAGCAAATATTTACGGAAAACACTATTGTTTTCTTTTGTGACCTAAAAGATACAGTACGTTATAAAAGTTCCAAATGCTAAACCATTACACTTGTCTTAGCATCACTCCATTATAAAACGATTCATATCAAATGATACAGTGCATAGGTTACCTTCAATCCGTTTCTGTTTGAATATAATTATTTTGATATCATATTATATTCCAGATGATCATTCAAGAGTTATCCTTAAGAAGGAAAAGAAAAACAGCACTGACTACATCAATGCTAATTTTATCGATGTATGTAAATCAATACATTATCATCTACTTTAAGTGGTTTTATATGAAATCAATTTTATATTGCGTTTGTAACTTTCGATTCATTAGATTTGTGATACAAGATGATGTTTGCAACAATGTAAAATATTCTGCGTGTCTTATTCTGTTTTGCAGGGTGTCCGAAAACAGAAGGCATACATTGCTACACAAGGCGAGTAAGATTAGCATGATCGTTCAAAAGTTTAAAAAAAAATCTACTGGCAAATGCATTTGTAAGTTATAGAAAGTTAGAAATTGACTTTTTGTGTATGTTTCTACCATACTCTGAAACATCTTTGCACCATGTATACCTCTATAGCCTTCCTTTTGTTGATAAACTTGTATTGGCTAAGAAGTTTCATCACATAAAACATGCAATTTTTTTCACAAAATATATAAAAATATATTGATTGGAAGTGATTTCTGATAACTTTACATATGTATCTAAAATGATCTTGTTTATGATTTTTGACTGAAATTTGTTTTACATAAAATAGGCCCAAAAGCTGTAACGATGGAGGATTTCTGGAGGATGACATGGCAAAACAATTGTGGAAAAATTGTCATGCTGGCAAATCTAGTGGAACTTGGAAAGGTAAAACCCGATTTCTTAAGATTGAGTTTTTTGTAAATTAAGCATTACAGGGAACATTGATGTAAGTGGTTTTGTTGTGTTTATTACGACACGTAATGATTGGGAACAATCCACTATGATTCACATTTAGCTTGATTGCACGTAAAGGTGTACAACAAATACGCAGCCACGGCTATGACATGATTTTGTTTTTTAATCATACACAATAAGAGACATGGTTTTGTTACTGTCAATCTGGTTCTTCATTGTCAGTTACAGTTGTTTTTAATAATGAATGTAAAAGTTCTTAATATAGTACAATCACCTTTAGGTTAAATGTACGACATACTGGACAGGAGATGATGGACACCCCTTGGAGCTTGGTCTATTTCAAGTGACAATGCAGGAAGAGATGACTTATGCATTCTATACCATTAGGAAACTTTCAGTGAAGAACAAAGAAGTGAGTATTATCCTCATCATTTCTCCTAATAGACCTCTGAATCTAATATTTGAGAAGTCACGCAGTGTGGCCTGAGGTTAATGTACGAAATTGTCAATGATGTCAATGTGACTATGAATTAATATATATATGACACTAAAGTTGTAGATAAATGCTGAAATATGGATTAATTTATAGACAAACAGCACAAGACAAATAACACAGTACCACTTCACAAGATGGCCAGACCACGGAGTACCGGAACCTTTTGAACTCCTTCAATTCCAAAAGCGAGTGTCGAGTGGACATACCAAACATAAAGGTCCTTTAATTGTACACTGCAGGTATTTAACAGAGATGTTTAAGTGAAAAGGCTTATAAATCGGATTTTATCCATAACAATTACATGAGTAAACATATGTATAGATATAAAGGCAAGAACAAGAAATCTTATTTTCATTTTACTAAGAATAATGTTTATGATATGGAATGTGTTTAGGAATGGTTGCGGAGAAAACAACATACTTATTTTCTGTCTGAGTTAACAAACATTATGTTTTGTGTTGCGGATATTTTCAGTGCTGGTATTGGACGAACTGGCACTTACATTGCACTCGACGCTTTGTTACTGGATGGAAAGAACAATGGAGATATTGACGTATTTGCGTACACTGAAACAATGAGGAAAGACCGAATGAATATGATACAAACGGCGGTAGGATTACTTGCTTAATATTATTATGTATTTTACAAAGGCCACATTTGTATAGTATTTATTAATACAAATTTAAAGTAAGAAACAATAGAACAAAGCAACGAATTAAACTGCATCATACAGCTATTTCGTCCTTCTAGCACTCGTCAGTGATGCTACGTCATACGGCTGTTTAGTCCTTCTAGCACTCGTAAGTGATGCTACATCATACAGCTGTTTCGTCCTTCTAGCACTCGTAAGTGATGTTAAGGGCCTAAAGTTTGAAGCGAAGGGGGCGACTAAGAGAAAACTAAAGTGATCGGAAGAAAAGTCAAAATTTAGACTGGGAGGTGCTGCAGCATATATTAGCTATAGAAAAAGTCTACTTCCCTGTCACAAACACACTTATTGAATTATTTGGAGTTGGTAAAATAAATGTAAGATCTTGCTTTTTCCTGTTGGATTTAATAAGAAATACTGTTATACAGACATATGAATAGCGCTGAAAGTCGATCGCAGAAGTGCGTCAATATTTAGGAAGTCATTGTAACAATAATGAGAGAAAACAAACGTTTGCAAAGGTGCGCCTTGAAAATATCAGTCAACACAGTTTGCATACGGTTCACATGGATGACATATGAAGCTATGTTTTTATATCTTGTATGTTAAATCATTTCAGAAACAGTACGAAATGCTTCATTATGTACTATTGGAGGCTTTAAAAGTTGAAACGGAAAGCATGTCAAAGACGGACTTTTGTAAGGCTATCGCGGACATGTTTGAGGACAACATTCCAACCCAGCAGTATGCAGTAAGTAGTGCTTATTCAATAAAAACAACGTATCGGTATAATATACCCTACACAAACACAACATAATAGCATGACATAATAATGCATAGCATGATATTACTTAATATATTATCTATTCACCTTCATTGCATATGATAATACATAATGTTTTGCAAAGTTACGGGGAACAGTAACATTAAATGCGACAATACATAAACGTTAAACTGCAAAAAAAAAAAAATCCCTCTTTGTTGTAATTATTACTCAATCTGTACACAAATATAATGTTTTCGTTTTATCTGAAGGTAAATTACACCCAAGAATTTTATAGTAATTCATCTGTTTGTCAATGAAAGACTACACAACACAAAGTTTATTCAAACAATTGACTATTCAATATAACATGTGATTGTTCGTAACTAAAATTAGTTTTATTAGCAATACTTTATCTTGTAGATGGTAAATTTAGAAAGACCTGAATATAATACCAGTGACTATAAGACAGCTTTAACGAACAAGAAGAAGAACCGGGACCCATCAATCTTAGCAGGTTTGTACAGACTCAAAGGTGTTTTTACCGGTCATAGAAAATTTACGATTTGTCGCTTGTAGCTTATTTGATCCAGGAAGGAATGGTTGTTTGAAACAAGACATCTAAAAGTACCGATAAAAAACTTACCAACATTTAAAAAAATATATTGTTTTCAGAGTTAAATCAATTTGAAATAGAATGAGTATAACTTATAACAAACATGATTCATAACTTAATCATCTCTTGCATTTTATAATACTTTCAGCAAATGTGAGAGAGGAATATCGTTTGATGCTCGCCTGATGGTTCTGTTTTTTTATACCCTGTTAACATTTGAGAACGTGACATTAGTCAATTGGATTGACTTAGATTTGCATGGCGGGTGTCGTCGATGAAACACAGGGTCTTGTTCGTCTTTTGCTTTTTCAAGAGTCTTCGTGTAAACCTTTTTGTTCCTATTCGGGCTAGTTTTATTGAATTTGAGTTTGGATTCTGATTGTGTCGACATGTTGGTATTTTCTTGTTGTTTATTAAACATATCCGTGTAGTTTAAGTAAGTTTTGAAGAAACATAACACTAGTATCATCTTTTTATTCTGGAAAAATGCACCCTTTACTTAAAAATGAAAGCTGTGTCTTATCCTTACAGTTGAAAAGTACAGGACACGTCTAATGTCTACGCCATCGGGGTATATCAACGCTGTCAACATACCGGTAGGAGGACATGTATTTAAGATAATTCTATTTCAAGGCACAATGTAGAAAATGTCAATATATTTTAACTGGATATATGTACTTTAGTATCTTAATCAAGAATTTGAAATATTTTATTCTTCCGAGTATTCCACAATTTACTTTTACGGTTTCTATGAAATACAATTTTTGCTTTTAGTTTTGATATCATTAAAGGAATTGTCAAAATACACAATGTCAAATGTGTATCGATTCTTCAAAAAGCAACATCTTCATTATAGTTAGATAATGAGTTAAACTACATTACATCCTGATAAGACCTGTTGAAATCTAGGAGGGAATCATGGATATTTGAAATAAGCTGAACATATTTCATATTATAAATAGCATGATGCCAGAACACATGAAATCAATATCATGTTAACATTATTTGGTTCCGTTGTCAAACATGCATGTACAAAAATATTGGTATTTTCATTTTTTAAGAACACGTCTATCTGTATTTTTCTGCCCGTTGATCTATACCAAAATTCAAAGTTTTAAATATTAAAAGGTCTTACTAAATATGCTAGGCAGTTCTTGATAATTATACTTATCTGACTCTGACCTTCACCCTCTTTCGTATTTCTCTCTTCTGTTAAGATTTGTTTCTTTATGAACTTTCTAAACTAAACTGAATGCATTAAAATTCATCTGGATAAGTTAATCATAATTGCAACAACTATCTGCATTGTGTATATATCGCCGCCCTGAATGTAAATTCGTGAGAATTTTAATTCTTTAAGTGATGGAATTGGTTCACTTCCATATCTACATTCCACGCTTTTGTGTGATATGGTATTAATAGGTGCTATTAACTTGTGTCTTTTATACAACACTTAAACATTTTCCGTTGTGTCTATTTAGTATAAATGTATCCATAAATGATGACTGAATTTGTTACTACAGGGATACAGAACCCCGTATGGTTACATACTTACTCAGCATCCCCTGGACTACACCGTCACTGACTTCCTATCTTTGGTGGCAGAGGAACGATCGGGAATAGTGGTGTCAATTGGTTCTTTAGAGGTTTGAAAAACTATCTGAACTAACCATCAATCTTTTTATACATGTAAATTGACGGTTGTATATGCCATTTTATCATTGATATATGTGGGACATTTTCATTACTCTTTGATATTTTATTTGTTTTATTGACCTATTTATAAATATTCTAAAGTAAAATGAACATTCCACAGCGGTTGGTAAAATGAACACGAGGAGAAGTAATTTATCAGAGAAAGAGACTCCATATATTGAATGTCTTTCCTTCCAGAGTAATCCGAGTTGGCCTACAACAGCAGGATCTCAGGCAAAGTTTGGCAACTTTCTTATTACAAATATTCAAAGTAATCACCATTCTCTTGGATCTGAGCGAGTTGAAGAACGGCAGCTTGCCATAGAAAATAAAGTAAGAACTCTTTCTTTGGTTACAAAATGTTTCATTCAATAAGTTACCTGTGTTTCTAACTGACTCCTCGAAAAAAATCAATTTTTCTTTTCAAAACAGGAAACCGGGGCTGACACAAAGATAACACTTTTCGAAACACCTTCTTGGGGTAGAACATTGCCAAAGTCAAGCTTTATGATGGAACTGATACAGACAATCCAGTGTAAGCGAGGATTAGATGCACCCGCTGTTATCATCACATGCAGGTGAACTTGCATTTTGTACTAGTTAGATATAATGTAATCTTTTTTTATTTCAAATAGAGTAACAACTTTAGATAGCCGTTGCCACGTTAGGTAGCCATGGACGAAACGTGATAAAAGAATCTTCTTAAAACTGTTGTAACATTTATATAACCATTAATATCAGGATTACACCAGGTTGGTGTGTGACATCAGGTTATTTGATCTGTCGACAACTTAGTCATGGCTTAGTCTGGAGAAAATTCTACACATAGAGCTAGAAAGAAGTTAATATTGTTGGTTGATCATCACATCTATACTTACATTAACTTTTAACATCAGTTCCAGACTCCTTTCCTGAATTTCGAAACCCTTCGATATATATATACAGATATTTAATCACTCACATATTTCATATTTATAAATAATGGATTCTATGTTTTCTTGTACAATCTTTTCCGGATTGGTGTACATTTGTTTTACTATATTCAGTTTCGCCTTAGCTTTTCATACTCTGCTATTAAATTATTGAAGCTAATTTGGTGTTTAATGAACGATTAAAATGACATCGAATACTTTACATTAAATACTACAAAAAAAAAAAAAAAAATCCCAAAAAACAAAAAAACAAAAATATTAATTTCAGAGATGGCGCTACAGAAAGCGGTCTCTTATGTGTACTGTGTAATGTAATGGAGCGCCTAGAAGTCCACGGTGACGTAGACATCATGGCAGCGGTCAGACAGATCCAGATTCGGCGACCACAGTGTATCTCCAGCAAGGTATTGCATGTAAAATAATATACTACAGTTAATCAAACTACGTGATGAACTGGCCCAGCAACGTCGTCATTACTGTCAGTATATTCTGAATGCATATTCATTATTTAATTTATCATGTCTTGGGACTCTCTATGATGAATATTGTTAGAGCGACGAATTCATTTTGGAATAGTTTACAGGGTGTTTTAAACACAATCCATTGCTATCTTACTTATCTTTTTGATAGATAGTTACAGTGCAACATACAAGTTTCTTACAATAGCCGTATTTTTTACTTGAAATTAAACATATGTTTGATATCAATTGTTGACATAATGCAATGATAATGGGGCCAGACGTTTCTAAATTCTAATTGTCTCCTGTACCATCGATAAAGTAAGTCATGTAGATCTTAGTAAGTCATGATGTCAAAGTACTACAGAGTAGGTACAAAACAACAGGAAAACACCAACATCTCAACATAATTATAATTCCAACTCCAATTCAATAAAATTAACGCAAAAAAGAACAAAAGAAAGATCTACACGGAGACTCCTGAAAAAGTGCGAGGAGAATAAATCCAGGTGTTACAGAAGAGTAAGCATTTTCCGCTTCATCGACGACATGTATTAGGTAAATCTGGGTCTATGTAATTAACATCATGTCCTCAAATAAGAAGGTTAAAACAATATAACCAATAGACAAGCTATCGAGTATTAAACACGTTCAGCTTCATATCACACAAAAAAGATACTATTCGCAATGATATCACTATATCGACCGTAAAATTTACCCACAATTTTTATCTCCAACATTTGAAACCATGTGTTGACAATTTGCTGCATGAAAATCGCGATAAGGGAAAAAGACCCTTGAATATCGAATCGCTGCGACATGCTAACATCCTTGGTTGGGGATTCAAAGTTTTTGCTATCCAGAAATGGAACATTCACAATAGGGAAGTTAAAGTCAACAAGATTATCATACAACTTCGTGGAAAGCTGTTTATGTTGGACACGTTGAAGGAAATGATCGATATCAGGGGCTGATATAAAAGAGTTTGTAATGACCTTCACTTCTAGTTCTGATGGGTATATACGATGCGCGTGATCAATAAATTTTTTGTTATATAAAGACAAAACGTCATTAAAATATCTGTAAGTGAAATTAAACTTTGTAAGGTCTAAGGTCTGTTTTTATAAGCTCTTCAATATATTCAGCCTCGCATGAAAACAAAAAGTCAGCCAGCAGAGGGGCACAGTTAGTTCCTTTAGGTATGCCGAGGATATTGCCAACGAATTGGACGTTGTCAAGAGAAACTCAATCCTTTTTATGATTTCGTCCTCCGTATATTTTTTTATTTGAACGTTTTTTCCCCTCGAAAAGCGCCTCAGGATAGTTCACAACCATATATTTGTACCGTCGTTCATCTGTCTTGGAAAGGAACGTCCTCATAAGAGCACGAACAAAATCCTTCATTTTAGAATGGGATATGATGGTATACAGAGTTGAAAAATCCAATCATACTTTAGCAGGTATTTAAACAAATATCGGACACGTCGAACGAACAAATCGGGAATGAAATACCCCATCCCCCCCCCCCCTTAAAAAAAGTCGCTGATAAACATCACACACTTGCAACCCTTGATAAAATTCTAAAGAAGTTTGGCTTCAACTGTCGGCATTGTTCACAAAAATCGTTAGATTAGGAACAAACCTTTGAATATAATAACAACTAAGACATGCTAATACTGCAGGACAATTAAGGAGAAAACTTTTATTCAACTATGCAAGAAAAACAAACAAAATAAGAAAAGTAGACAGAAAATCATGCTTTTCATACGGCAATTGGTAACGTGCTCCTGTCAGCTACACTGTCCGAACTATTTAAAGTTTTCTCTTGCGTAGTTTGTGATAATGTTATGTTTCAGTTTATGAGAGAACATGTATGTTATTTACATTTTTCAAAATTCGTACTATCTCATTTGTTATACACAGATAGTGTTGTCCATTTAATTACTTCACTTCTTGTCTTATTTTTGTTATATTACAGGAACAGTACATATTTTGCTACAGATTAATACAGGACTACCTGGAGGCGAGCACTGTCTACGCCAATGTGTAAGAAATCGGTAAAGCATATAGACAATGGGAGTTCTTGTGAATTTGAAATAATATTTAGATGTTTGCAATTCCATGACCAATTCTGATAGCCTTGCAATATTCATATCAAGCAACAACAAAGCAATACTAGTATACAGTTAAAGAACTTTCAAGTTGTTTGTCAGTCTTCGTATTTATCTACAGCTGTCCTAAAATCGACCACCTATTAAGATTGTTCTCATCAACATCATTTGATTTACATACAAAGCAACATTCTTTATATCTTAGTAATTTGCCATATGGTATATTTAATCATATATGCTAAAGCACTATGAATACACCAAGCAAAATTACGATGAGGTGGAAGAAAATGAGGTTTTATTTGGATTTTATGATGACATACACATTAAATACCATTATTTTATCGCCAGGAAAACTTCAATATGTGCACGGTTATTTTATATGAAAATATGCTAGCTTATTTGTTTATTTTGATAATTCAGTATTTACTGTCGGGGAAGGTATTTTTAAGAATATATAAAGCTTTCATGCTAATTAAGTTATGTCCTGACCTTATTACAAGACCAATCTATCATATAAGGAAAAACTAAATTCCATTTGTGGAATGTGTAAATGTAAGCATAATAATCGATTGTTTTGGAACATTTTAATACGTTGTAATGTAATGTTAACCTTAGTTTTGTAATGACATTTGTATTTCATTACGTTTACTCATGTTATTGAAAATGTCTATATATACTGCGGGAGATAGCTCCATCGCCTGTACCAGTCTGTTCACAAATAGTTTACCTGTAGAGTAAACTTAGCCTTCACCTTGTGCACTATAAATGCACTTTTAAATATTATAAGGTGAAAAAGAACAGTTTGCGCTTTCTATAAAATATCAATTCAGGTTGTTGTTGAGCGCAAACGACAATCTTGACCGCAGTTCGCCGAGTGGACGAAAGTGTTAATTCACCTGTAAATTGTGTATGCCAGACATATTTTCAGTTCCATTTAGACTTTTTCTGTATAAAATATCTCGAAACAAATTCCTGCTTGATTTAAATGTAAGAAGTTAACTTATTTTGTCTTGCTAAGCTTTCCGTTTCAGTCTGTTGATGTTAGATGAACTGGTTCGAAAAGCGATATTTATTTATTTCAGTCATGTTCCTGATTAAATAAAAATTTCGTTTGATGCGTTAGTCGACACACGTCGGTTATCAACTTTTACTTTGATATGCTCTAAACTTTAATCAGGTGTGAATAATCACTATATTCCCAGTAAATAAAGGTTTACATTCTTTGACACTTGCTTATTAATTTTTTACATGCCAATGCGGAACTATTCAAAAGAAATAATCCGCGATAGGAACCGAAACAGCCAGGAATTTTAATCTTAAACTTAACGAAAACTGAAACGTTTAGTTTATATATATACATATATATGTTAATTTTTGAAAGCATAGATTCTGTAAGAAAAGAAAATAATAAAGGCGAAATAGGTTACACTTTCCGAAATCATGTCTTTCCAAAAGGATAGACTTGTCATAATCATATTGAATTGTGTGTCGTGATAAACACGTTTAGCATATTACTAACGAAAACACTGTGGTGTGCCTTTCACGTTTATTACAGAATTGTTAATAATGTCATCAGCAGTGGGTCGATTCTCCTATCAATTTATACTAGTTAGATTGTATTACGTTGGTTATTAATGCTTTGTCTTTATATGCCCAAGGTATCTTATCAGTGTCATTTATCATTAAACATAATTTTGAAAAATGAATATATCTTAGAAACTCTTTAACTGTTGCATAATTAAAGTGGTATTGAATAGCATATATAGATATACTTACTCAATCTGTAAAGATTAAACAAACTAAAAAAGTCTGAAAATTTCAAGAGGAAATTGCGATTTCGGATGATATATGATTTAAGAAATCCTTATGATGGCAAAAATAAATACAATATTCATAATAATTGAGAAACATGTCATCACTTACAGCTATTCTAAAACAATATTTTGATATACATGTATTTGAATAAATTGACATTGTATTAATTTGATGTTGATCCCTGAATGCTTTATGCTTTTGCACACTCTCTCTCTATATATATTTACAATAAAAACCTTTTCACATAACATTTATTGTTTATTCTTTTTTAATACATTCCTTTTCGTTTTTCCATAATACTCATTGCTTATCAATAAACGAACAAATCGAAAGCGTGTCCAAGAACAGAAATGCCATCAACTATCAAAATTCCCAAGGCAAAGAGAATTTCAAGATTTCACAAAGAAGAAATACCCTTAATAGGACCTAAACCTCAACTATATATATATAAATGAAAGTGATAATGAATGGTGGTGCTACTCTCTGAGACGATCAAACCATATGTACAAAAAGCGGCTGTTTAATTAAATAGGATGAATCTCAAATGATAAGTATCAAATTCTAATAATCATATAATTGAAATAATTCCATCTCAACATCGATCGTATAGATCATTGAGATAGTACTTATAGTAGAGGTCTTCATCCGTACAATCGTTTTCTCCGAGTAATCCATGGTTTATTCAGTTTTCGATAATGAACAAATAATTTCTTCGATGAGAGATGTGATGTGAGTATACAAATGGTTCCAGTCGTGATTCGTAATTGATAATGGTTTCAGATGGTTTATAAAGAGGACTTAACTACAAATATTAATATAACGATATAATAACTGACATCAGCTGTATTAACTAAAGTTAATCTTATTATCAATTGTGAGGACTTCTGTTTTCACAGAAAAAAAATATGATACAACGTTATCTTACGGACCAAGGTTGATATTAATATGCAATGAGATCTTTTAATCTGACAGCGCAGCAAATATTCCTATTCACTGCCTTTGCTATTATTAGGTTTCGGCGCTTTCAATGAGTTTAGCCCAAAATGACGGATGTAGTCATGCATTATGTAAAATAAAAATTGTTTTAAATGCTGTCTACTCTAAATTTCCGTTCAAAATGCGCTGTTTGTTACCCGCATTGAAAGCATTATAACCCTTTGATGTTCATTAAAATCAATCTACTTTTTAATACAAATATGAAACAGGAGTAGCATATTTTGTATGTATATGAAACTGAGCTGCTGTATCATACAATATCAGGTGTAACTGAGTTGCTGTAGCATGCAATATCAGTTGTAACTGACCTGCTGTGTCAGCAAAATACCAGCTGTAACTGTGATGTCGTATCACACAATATCAGGTGTAAATGAACTGCTGTATCATACATCATTTGTAACTGAACAGCTGTATCATACATCATTTGTAACGGAGTTGTTGTAGCATACAATATCAGTTGTAACTGACCTACTGTGTCAGCAAAATACCAGCTGTAACTGTGATGTCATATCACACAATATCAGGTGTAAATGAACTGCTGTATCAAACAACATCAGTTGTAATTGAATTGCTGTATCATACATAATATGCAACTGAACAGCTGTATCACACAACATTTGTAACGGAGTTGCTGTATCATACAATATCAGTTGTAACTGACCTGCTGTGTCAGTAAAATACCAGCTGTAACTGTGATGTCGTATCACACAATATCAGGTGTAAATAAACAACTGTATCAAACGACATCAGATGTAATCGAACTGCTGTATCATACAATATCAGTTATAACTGAACTGCTGTATCATGCAAATCAGGTGTAACTGAGCTGTTGTATCATACATCAGTATATGCAACTTGAATGCTGTACTATACAATACCGAGTGAAGTTAGCGATAATATCGCTTAACACCAGGTGTAACTGACTTGATATGTAACACAGCACTTATCCTGAATTGTGAAATACAGAACTAAAATATTAAACCTTCATTAAATTATAACAACAACACAATTAAGTGTACGGTTATATCAGGAATGTTTATTCAAGAGCATTGCATTTCATATGCATGAATGGTTATTCTTTTATATGTTTATGCCAGGAGAAATATCTTCACAGCTCATGAAAATGTATATATATATATCTTTGTAACTATATATATATGAAAATGCAATAGGTAAAAAAGTAAATCGGTAAAAAATTGAATTGCGTCATTAGTAAAAATCATGAAAAGATGAAATAACAAATAGGTTGTTTAATCAAAAGTCCCAAACTAATTCTGTAACTTCCATGTAACCTCAAATGAATTGCCGATCCGAATTTTGTTTTTGTTGATGATCGTCCCTTACTGACCCGTTAAGTAAATTGCCTATTCTGACAGAATTATACCACATCTCAGTGGTGCTTCTTAGCAAACATTTATATCAATCACTACAAAATCAATATTTCAATAATATAATCTGGTGAACACAAAGCTACTTTTCGAGCAAAAACATCGTTTAGATTGATAGGTGTATGGGAAAGTTCATTGGATATTCAGGTTAACATAATTGTGTTATGAAGGGACTCCCTAAATTTTATGTTGTGAAAGTTGCCAGATCTCAATAAGTATGACTATGACTTGCGAAATAAAAAACGATATAAAAAATAAATATTTGCAAATGAAATATATCCCTGCTTTGTGGAATACGCCCTGGATATCATGTACGCAACAATCAGGTATAAAACATTTATAATAATCTTTATTATGCCAAACTAATTCTATGTCTTTGTAGGACGTGGTATGTTTGTACTTTGGTGTTTTTCGTTAAAACACAGGTAGTAGAATATAAGTTACATATCATTTGATAGGTATTTTTGTTACTGATTATCTTGAAGTCGTGATGCTAACCTGCCTCAAATGTGTGACCGAATTGCTAGTCAAGAAGATTTGATATCTGTATATTGGAGATTATATATTCGCAACTTCAGAAGAAAAAAAACAACATGGGTATACTGATACTTACAAATGTGTAAAATTGCACCTTTGAACAACGTAATAAATGATAATGACGAATACAATGCTAGCAACGTATGTACTACTTACATATTATAAAAAAAACATACAAAGTGCATGAGATCAGCACATTTCATTAAACAGCTATGATACTTTATGGATAGATGACATGTCTTGTTTCAAAACTGTATTTCACAGTTACTGTTGTTTTGGTATTATCGATATGCATATTTATTCTGCTATCAAATTGGCAACATATAACAACAGATATATATAATGCATTATTCAGACAGATGATGCAACTATAGAACTATAACAATAATCGATATATTTATACAATAATTACAATTAATACAACAACAGCAAATTATGAAAAAGAAATATTTGCACGCACACCTCTTAAAAACTAAAAGGAGGATAAGACCAGGTGATCCAGATGAGCGCTCGTCTTCTGCTTCGCACCTGTCATTTATATATATTTATTGATACATCCGAGTTGGCAAGTAGGTTTAAACGAGTGAAGACGAAACGAATATGCAAACTATAGAGCATCAAACAAGTCTAGCTTCATATCACAAAAAAGATATTTCCTATAAGATCTCTATGACATTCACATCTATTTAGTCACTACGGTTAAAACATTGAAGCATGAATAGTATATTTTAAACGCCTTTTCAATTGAGAATATTTTATCTATTATACAAATACTTTTAATTGTTGATCAATAAAACGATATTTTTAAGAGACATTTAACAGAATTAATGTACAAGCATATAAGAATTGAAATTAATGAATGAAGGTAAAGTTAAAAGTGTGCATACTTTGTGAGTATATTCCGCGTTGGTGATCAAACAGCATAGTGGAGATTTCAACTCAGATCTAAAGTACCTTATCAAACATATATGTCATTAAAAGCATTTCAGCTTTGGCAGGCACACCATATAAATAGCAACCACATTTAATTTTTGCTGGACAATTAATTACAAATCGAAGTGAAAGAAACAACGTTACTTTTTTCAATCAATGTTCACAATTTTATTTTTTTATCCAAAAGACGTCAAACCTGCCCCCTTGTCTTTAGTTGATGTATACGTTAGTTGAATCGAGGTACTGTCCGATGAAGCTGTAACAATACTGGTATTGTTCCTAAACAATAAATAAAAAAGTAATTAATACAAACGGTTTATGTAGCTCGCTTTATACGTGCAAAACACGGACTGATATGCAAAATTAAAAGCATTGAAAGTAACATTGAATGTTTCTTTAAGATAATGAATGATGCATCATTTAAATAAAAACACTCAAAATTCGTGCTGAAATTGAACAATAACGCACAGTAATCGGTCTATTAAGTAAATAAGGTATAGTAAATATCTACCCCTAACAGTCGTCAGTAATGTTCGATATCTAAAGATCTATAAAAATACAAATTTGCTGTTTTTTAATCTATTTTTTACGTTATGTGTGTATAGCGGAATAACTCACCGCTTATGTATACGCTTGCGATTATAATTATATTAACCTGGCAATTAACTTGTTGTATATATTTTTTAAAAATTTTAAACCGTTGCTCTCATTCCAGTAGTGCAGTGGTCATGAACTCGTCATCATTTGGGAGTGGTAACCAAATAAACACAGCCATGTCTAAAAGCTATTTGTCGTCAATCTTTTTAAAACAACTTTTATGAAATACAACACAACCGTGAAGGAAACTGAAATATGATTTCTGTAAATGTCATTATAGGATTTTTTTTGCAAAGAATTACGTATTGTTTAAAACAAATACGCTTCAATCCTAAATGAGATTCAAATTTCACCTAATGGTATGTATATCCGATAAGAGAGTAGATATCACCACTTACAATGTTTCCGAGAGCTTGTGGCCGTCGAATCTGAAGTTGTCTACAGTTTTGAAATATGTCGACTTCATCGTCCATCTTCATCTGATCTCTTGCGTTTGAAATACAACAGAACAGTCCACTCTGTTTGCACCCATCCCTGTTCGGTGAAAAAGATTATGTGTGAAATGTCGTGTATAGTAGATTTTAAAACACTAACGATTAAAGAAGATTTTATTTCGATGAATATGTAGCAAAATAAATTGCATGCAATGTCACCAACGCATGGCGGGGTGAAAGGATAATCCACTGGTTGTTCCATCAAGTGGATATCATTACGCTTTTCTTACATTAGGAGATCGTTTATATCATAAAGTGGTTATCCACGAACATTTAAAGATATGGTGATGTCAATGCGCCCGAAATATAAGTGTTAAAGAGATAAAATGTTACTAAGATAACCGATTCGTTAACTAACCCGTATATAAGCATCAATTTTCGAAACGCAAATATAACGTATACGTTGAAACATTAATCGCTTCATTTTCTTGAATGGGTCAGGCCGTGAACTTACCGACACATGACGATCACTGGTTTGGTATTGTCTGACCGGCGCCTGCTGTCCAGTTGTTCCAGGAGGAGGAGAAGTGACGAGTCAGAGGGGGGCAATAAGGAATCGGAGGACCATTGCTTCATCGTGAACACCCGTATTGGAGTGTCACTATGGGACATCTGTAACTCATACAAATATAAAGTTAGTGCCTGGTGCAGGAATTCAGATCAATACAAATATAATTAACCAATTAAAAAAGAATATCCAGTTTTCTTGTCGTATATCAAACGTTTGGTGATTATATAGATATTTTCAGTTACTTATAAGTTTTGTAAAACTCTCTGGATCAGGTGTCAACATTTTTAGTGAAATCCGTCAGGTGTGAAATTTAAAGACAGTCAAATAGAACGAAACAGAGTTCTTAAATTTAATCGATATTTGTTCAGCTGAATTAGCAAAACAAAGATCCATGTTATATTTAGTTATCACTTAAGTTTAATAATATTATCAAAATATACACAATCTTACAAAGCACAATTAATATTACGACATGTATTCGTGAGTCAATATTTTTGAAGATTGGTCTACAAAACAAGAAAATCGCAAAATTCAAACTCAAAATTGATGATACAGGAAATATCACAAAACAGTATCTTAAATGTGTGGGACCAAAGACTTACGATCTGCCTTACAACTGGGTGTAACGTGTTTGTTATTACCTTGCTTGTGATTACATAATCGACAATATCCACATCAGTAATCACCTCCAGACTGTTATCTTTCTTCACATATACTTCATGGGCATTATCTGTCTCACTCTCCTCACGGAGCCAGTGCTATGACATTGCATAATGTATATGGAATAAGAATATAAACGTTAAAAATATTTTTCGATATCATTAATTTACTTATAACTTATTTACTAAAACTTATTAAGGAATAGTTTGAAAATAATATTTCGTCTTATGATACATGAATTAGTAATTAGAATTAGAAAATAAAAACACTAAATACAACTGCATCATAAGCTATTGCGTCCTTGTAGGACTCGCCAATTATTCTACGCACCTAATATATTTAAAGTTAGCAATATTAACACAACTGTAGTGTTAGTAAGTTGCTCACCTCCGAGGGTGTTCCTAAGACAACGATGTTTTCACAGTTGTAATCAACCACTAATGTCCAGAAGTCATCAATTGTGTCCTTTAATGGGAATTGGGTAATAAGATAGCCAGTCTTCGATCTGTGTGACTAACAGCAAATAAATGAAAGATTAATTAATGATCATGGTAAGAGACATAATTTGCATTAGACTATGGTTTAATAGTATATTCAACAAATACCAATATATTTACCTGTAACAAAACGGCATTGATGTAATCAGTCCTACCACGTCCTTGAGACCGCAGGAACGCTCTAAACATGTCAACTAAATAGAATAATAATACAACTTTATAATAAATATGAATATATAAACTTGCGATTTATCTTTGTTCCCTTCACTTCTATGCTTTAGTAGCTGCGGTGGCGGACTGATCGGCCTGGCCAGAGCCATTCTGTCAGTCAGTTAGAAGTAAATCATACTTTCTTAATAACATAACACTAATAATAAATATTAATAATGTTTCATTAAAAAAAAACTCACCAGCCATTTGGAAGATTACACTGCTTTTAATGACATTGATTCAGATGTGCTGTTTTATTTTCATCCTATTTGGGGATGAGAATGGTTTGCAAATAAAGGGTGATACTTAAGTTATAAATATATGTAGCTTAAACATGCGTTCCGTTTTCAAAATTTCACCAATTTTTTTTTTAATTTAAGTTAGCATAATCAATTTCTATTACTATTTGTTTTGAAAAGATTAGTTAGGTAATTTTGAGGCTTCAATAAAACCTTATATCATGCAATCAGAGAATTCTACTTGTCAAAGTCACTCAGTACACTAATTACGGTATGATTTTGCCGATAAATGTTGGCGATATATCAACATGCAAAATCAGCAATGTTTATTTCAAGTATCGTTTTACTACAAATATATCATACATTGGCACAACATTTCTGCGAGCCTTGAGTCTTGAACAATAGTTTAGATTATAACGCTTTTCCGCTAATTCAAAATTCAACTTTGGGATTTTTTAATTTGACAAGATTTTGGAAAATATCTTTTTGTTGGTTCGTAACCTTATCACCATGAGAAACAGTGTCATCTTGTTCCTCGCTATGCTTATATTTATATAATCCTAGTTTCGACATTCAAAAATGTTGAAGAAAATAAATGACGACGAATATAAGATTTTTATAACATTTTTTATTCATTTTAATACTGCGGAAAAATAATGCTGTCATGTTTGACGAGATCGATGTCTTTTATTTTGAAAATCTATGCAACAATCCCAAAAGTATAATTTGCTTATATGTTTAATAACAGACGAACTATGAGATAAAACGATTGAACTCTATGTCTATTAGACATTTATGCTGAGTGAAACATGTCGGCATTTATTCTTATAGAATCTATTAGAAGCAACTCGTTTATTATCGTTTTAGGTTTTTCAGTAATGTTAAATATGATAGACATAAAGCGAAACAATGCGTACATCAAAGTCAGATTGTTTAGTGACAATGTCAATCTAAATAAATTTCAAACATGTCATACATTACATGTGATATATGAAAATACATACCTGCAATATTTGACATTGTTCTGTTTTTGTCCTTGTTTTTTGCCATCATTCCTGCTGTGTAGGAATCCGAATTATATATTGGAATGAGGGTCTGCAGTTTCTGAAAACAGTTAAAAAATGTTATCATAATTTTTTGAGAAAGAAAAAATGTATATATTGTCATAATAACAGAATCATAGTTCAAACATATGAACAAACCTTCAAATGGGGACTCCTAAAAATAAAACAAAAAATATGAACTGGTATCCCGGAAAGGTAATTGTCTTCTGCAAAACCGGTCATGTAATTTTGGTAAATGTTAGTAAATAGTATCACGTTCCAAAAAGAATACAAGGCAAATATTCCTGGGACTACCTGACAACACGAGACACGTGCAAATTCATATCGTGCAAAGAAAAAGAAGTTAATTTAATGTTATAATTTTATCTAACACTTACTCCAAATTCTATTCGCAATTTTGTTTGATTGGTTGGCTTCCCTGCAGGTAGAATATTTTGCAGGGCGTCAGGAAATTTCATTCTGGAAATCAGGGTGTTCGATAGATCTGCTGCTTCAACAAGCAATTCGTGAAGAGCGATATACTGCTCCTGCAATACAAATCAATTTAGATAAAAAACAAAAACAAAAAAACAAGCGTTCCTACATCATTTGTTCTTACCTCGCCTTCATCATAATGAATTGATTCAAATGTACCACATGTTATTCATCCTGTAATTTAGCAGGCATATCATTTAAGTATTGATCCAGTAATTCTATGTTTTGGTTTGTATCGTTTTGTTTGGATATATGCTGACCTTCATACATATAAATACATATCTTACATGGGTTTGAATCATATTCATTCTGTCCTTCCTCATTGTCCTGATGTACTCTAATATATCCACTCGTCCCGACTCCCTTTCCGCCTTGGAAAGAGCATCAAGGCCTATGAAGGTCCCTGTTCTCCCTAGTCCAGCACTAAGACCAATAACAGAAACATATTTTATCAAAGTTTGTTTCTATGTTGTTTTAATCGGTGTAACTTAATTACTGGATATGCTATTTTCACAATGGCGTTGTTCATTGAAATTGAAGTTGTGACTTGTATTGAAAACCATAATTGTGGTTGCTGCCATCACAAAACGAGAAAAGACTAGATTTGGCAGACAGACTTCGAGCGTCAGCTGCAGCAAATACACTGTATTACTAAATGAAAGTAGAATGTCATATTTTGCATTGTACCGCGATATTTAGTTTAACATGCTTAACATGAAGCAGAAATCCTGTCAAAATACATTTCTTTATAAAAGAAAAACTTGTTTTCTTGTCATACGGTAATTATATTATTTCTTGGGCCTTTCATGAAGGAAGTTATGGTGCGTATGCCTTCTGTTATCAACTGTACCTGCAATGTACCACCATTTGGCCCGTCAAATGTGTGACACATGACGTCACACGACGGTGAAAAAGAACCAGTTCAATGTTGTTCGGAGTACCGTGATCCGGCCACGCAGTAAAATGGAACTGATGAACTTGGCGTTCTTCCTTTGTCTGTCGGATAAAGGAAAAGAAACGATTGACTAGATATTTCTTCAGCTTCAAAATTGTCTTGGTAGTTGTACTTGTAATACAAGAAAAAAACTTTTCACTTCATGGTTTTGTGAAGGCTATAAAATGGGTAATAAATATAAATGACCTACTGTAGTTAATTGTGCTATTGTTTTCAATCATATATATATACACACACAACTATTTACTGTTGATAAAGTATGATGCAAAATAATGGTTCGATAATATTGTTCTTTAGATATATATTTCATGAAGACGATTCTTTTGTGTATATATTTTTGACAGACAAGAAAATATCTGTTCACAGAAAAGCTTTCATCCTCAGAAGAAATGAATAATGTGATGGTATCCATTCGTACTGCCAATGAAGTTGCTGAAGGTTTGTTTAAAATAAATGAGTAAATCACATGTACTTGATTATATTACGACTTGAGTTTGATAATTTTCTATTTGTGTGACTTAAATGGGTTTTTTTTTTTTTTTTTTTGTTTTTGTTGATTTTGGTTAATTTCACCAGCAACACACGATGTTTCTTAGACACAAATGGTATTGCACTACATGTATTCAGATACAGGGTGTGAGCACAGCGCATAGTCAGCATATGTTAATTTTCTTAAATATTTTAGAACGACAAGAAGTCGTTTTCATTAAAAACACGAATGAAATGAAAAAAAAAAAGAAAAGTCAAAAGCATTAAAACTGTATAAACTGCAAGTGGTCTGCTGATTAGGAAAAAAGTATAATGAAATCCGTACTAATTAATGATACGTTAATGACCCAATCTTATCCATAACAGAATGCCATCTTTTTACCGTTTTCTTGCTCAGAGAAATCTCCCGTATAACATAAAATGCATATGTTCTCTCCCGATCTAGTGTGATGTTGAAATGCCTCGTATCCAGCGGTGAACCTTCGTTAGGCCAGTATTGGTAACATTTGACCTGATGGTAGAAATATGAGAAATATTTCAAGTTATTAATTTAAAAAATAGATAAAATACAGCCACGACACGTTAGCGAACCAAAATATTGTAATTTAGATCATTTTTGTTTTGTTTATTGTTTTGCGGTTTTAATGCTATTTTTAACATATAAATTAAGTAAGCTAAGACTAATATTTCCATCGGTAGTTACACGGTTACAAGTTTATAATTGCTTACATGAAATAATTCTTAAAGCGTAGAAAAAGAAAAAACCACTAATTACATGTCCACCTTCTACAAGGTTTGTCACCATAACGATCTTTCCTGTGTTCAATTGCCATATCATTCTCCAAAAGTCGTTTACGGTTTTTTCCTTTGGGCCTGCAAATATTCAATTTACATGTAAGCACACTGTATCAATACAATCACTTAAGCTACGTTTTAAATTATTCTTTCAAGGCTCTCATCTTTACAAAATTGCAACTATACTTTCCGAATGTATACTTCAAAGAACATACACTTTATCTGTAACGTATTAGATATAGAAAAAAGATGATTGAAATTATTGTTATCCATGTATACCAACACCATCCCTTTTTTTGTCTAATAGTTTTTTTCCGAATCTAAGAAATGATTGCCCGGCCCTAATTTTGTTTCATCTTTGGTTGAAATTCACTTTGGTGTTAAGAAGGGTAGCTTTTAAATGATAATTTCATAGATGCCGCACGGCATCGACGATAGATGAAACACTATGACTATAAATAGTAATAAAGAAAAAGAATCATCATTGATATATAAAATTGTTTTTACCTTGACAAGCCACGTACACATTGTCGGCGTCGACACTCTTCCATTAAAAAATAAAAGTTGATAGATGTGAAAAAAGGAAAAAAAATCATAATGTTTTCTATTTAAATTGTATACATGTATCTTAACATTCAGGAGAAGTCTGACAAGTAGATTTACATAGATTGTTAGCCTAATGATTATATTGTAGAACCAGTGATAGATCGATACGAAATAGTCAGTGAATGCATTGTTGGGCAGTAATAATATAGAGCAAAAGAAAGACACTTACATCAATGAAGTTGGCGTTGATGTATGTTGAGTCGGGATCATTCCCAATTTTATTGAGTATTACTCGAGAATGGTCATCTAAAATCAAAGACTCAGTATTCTAAAAAGGTTCCATTAGGTTATGATCTTAGCTGGTAATTGCCAGATTTTGGATAAATATTATCTCTGGTCCTCAGATTAAACGATGCTTCAATCACGAATCATTATGAAGTGTTTGTTGAGCATCTTCACAAAAACGACCACTAATCGCGCTTTATATGAACCTGGATTCGGGGGTCCAACACTTACATGAATAATTAATTTGCGATTGTTTTGCGCAATTTGTAATGACAAGTCCATTTTTTTTGTTCCGTTTGTACAATCCCTTTAATTATTACCAGTTGAATTACTATCATAAAAACGACAACGAACACACGAATATGTCAACAGAACCTTCATCAAAACCGACATTTTTGAAACTAGGGCAAATTATAAAAAAGTTAGATGGTTATACATTGTTTGGCTCTACTGTATCTTACTCTAATTTATGAAAAGGTGCTATTAGCTTGTAACTCTTTTGTACACTCTTTATGATAGCAGGTGATAGAACTGCTGGTGGACTTTAAGTCCCCGAAGATTGGCGTAACTTGCTTGACACATTTCAACTCCTTAGAATAGTTGCATGGTTCATAAAATACAAATGTACTTGACACTGTTATAAAATTATCTGGTTTATGAAAATTATGAAATCTATCTATTTATGGGGCTGCTACACCTCCTCATCTAGATGTTGACTTTTCTTTTGATCACTTTGGATTTTCCTTAGTCGCCACGTAGGCTTCAAATGTTAGGTACTTGGCATCCCTGTAGAGTCCAAGAAGGATGAAATAGCTGTATGATGCAGTTTATTTAATTGTTTGGCTCTGCTGCATCTTAATTTAAATGATTAAAATGTGTTATTCACATGTGAATCTTTAATAAAATCTTTAAGATAGCAGGTGGTAGACACTATTGGTGGATTCTAAGTCCCTTGGATTAGCCGTAACCACATTTTATTTTTTTCGAATAATGGTACAGTTCAGAACATACACACGTACTTGACGTTGTTCTAGAATTATATGATGTATGAAAATTACGAAATTTATTTAATTAAAGAGCTGCTGCATCTCCCCGTCTTAGATTTTGACTTTCCTTTTGATCACTTTGGGTTTTCCTTAGTCACCTTGAAGGATTCAAATTGTAGGGCCTTAGCATCGCTTGTGAGTCCTAGAAGGACGAAACAGCTGTATGATGCAGTTTAATTCATTGGTTGTTTTAACTGTATCTTTCTCTAAATTATGAAAAGGTATTATTCACTGATGTCTTTTGTACAGTCTTACAAGTGGAATCCTGATAAAAGCACAGGAAGTATAAGACATGGTGTTCCCAAAAGGTAAATGTCTTCTTTACCGACGACATCCGCTATTTAAATCAGCAAGTAGAAGGGAACAATTTATTGTCATAGTATGCAAAAAGTCTGTAAGAAAATCTAACTAAGGTATTTAAAGAAATGTTCGATATTCGAGCATTTTGATGATTTTGTTCTCCCTTTTTTCCTTCTAAATTTCACGCCCTTTATTAATATAAAATACGCTTCAATATACTCCATAGCCATATATTTATACTACCGTTCACCGTTAATGGAAGGGAAAGCTCTAATAACAAGATAACGGGGGGGTTTTAGAAGGAATAAGGTACGGTAGTGCACAGATTGGACAAAAAATCAAATAAATTATGATTATGATTATAAAAGAGAGTTTTGAAGATTCGTTTAACCTCTTTGGAGTCATTTCAAATTCATATGTCATTGATTTCACTTCTTCCGTAAACGGTATCACAATAAAACTGTAACTCTAATTTGATTGTACTCAAAAGCTTTAGTAAAAGATCGTTTGATCCAACAATAAAACAATGTTTGCATGGATACTTGTGGAGGTTAATAATACAATATAAACGAGAGAGTTTCCATTTCATTACCATCAACAGGCAGTTTAAATGATTGCAATGATGGTATATTTGCAAGTTGACAATGGTTATGAAAACCAGCAATGATGTGATCTTTTGAATAAGAATACATTGAATAAAAGGTTATAATTTACATTATTTGTGTTTCAAATAATACAGAAATTAACAAAAAAAAAAAAAAAAAAATACGTTAAAACAATTATTATGATACGCACCCTTTACAAACAAACAAAAAACAAAATTTAAAAAAAAGGGGGGGGGGGGGGGGGGGGGGGGGGGGGGGGGCAAAGAATTGTCTCTAGTTTATAGATATCAATACATACATGGGAAAGTTGTCTTGAATCTGTTCTTTGCTTTGTTTGCTGGTTTAGCACCTTCAAGATGAGGATGTACTGCACCCCAGGGTAACACCTGAATATTGCATGCAATATTATTTTGATTATATCTAACAATAAACATTTTCGCGACAATTATTTACACATGAACGATACACAGTTACTAATGATACCGTACAAATGAAAGAATTTATTGATGTTGTTTTTTATTGTAGAAGGATGCATTAGTGTTCGACATAAAATGACTTATTGTGTCATCGATGTTGCTAATGAAGTGGCACCGATATCAGTATTATTTCAACCTACTTGGATCCCTATTTGAACCATCTTTATCTCATCATACCTTGAATTCATTCTTAAACACCTCTTGTCCGTTTTTCATCTTTTTTGGGATCATTGCCCGGATGTCTTCAATGGAGTCGCCATTCATAGCTTTTACATTACTGTAAGCCACCTGTTCCATGTTTCCAACGTCGCCAACGTTCATATATGCGATTCTGTCGTCATTTGCTGGAGCTTTAAAGTTAAAAGTACGAAAACTGTTTAACTGATTACAAAAAACCCAGCTTATTGTAAGTATAGTATGACCGCGTTGAATGTCATGCTGGGGACTTTCGTCTGTATGTTTCAGTCTAGAAGCCCATTAAGGTTCTGCATTATCACAATATGCTTACACAAATAAACCGCAGTCTTCTTCAAAATAACTCAATCAGCACATACATTCATCTCCTACAGACTGGGCAGCCGTCTTCAAATTACCAAGGTTGTTGATGGGACAATTTAAACAGTGTAAACCAAACGATTTAGTTTGCTTAGCTTTTGAATGACTGATTTTGTTTGAATTAGAATATGATGTAATATCATTTTTAAAGGAATAATGGTAATTATATTTTAAAACATTAGAGCACTGAAATAACGTTAAATACAATTAAGACTATACTTACTCGTGTATACCTACATCATAAAATTATATTAATAGGTCATACACTATACCGTCTTGACCTTTCTTTAACTATCAGCTACTCATGACGTCTGATGTTGTGATGTCTTTTTTTTTATTCACGACTGCTAATTTATCAAGAAATTAAAATAGGATTTCTTCTTAATTTTTTCGTTGTAAACTTAAATCCCTGGTTGATCGCAGGACTTCAAAAGATATAGAATCATATTATGCCCATGCCCATGATAATATTGTGTAGTGCTGATGATAGTGTAGTTTAGATCAAATCCCCTCCTCCTTTTTTTAAGTTCCATTAGACAATAATACACAAAAAAAAAAAAATCATCATAACATTTCTGTCTACGTTTTCAAAACTAAGCTTCAAGGACTGTGAGACCAAAAAACATATCAAAATCGACAATGCCTTACCACATGCACTACTAAGGAACCAAAAATAATACAATTGTGGTTACGCACAACGCACCAAAACCGTCGTGCGCACAGTGCATACATAATGGACACAACGTGCGCACACACGCACTATATAGTATCATGAACACAAATTTCCGATAGGATCATACATTTAGTGCGGTTTAATAGAAACAGTTGGCTGATATAACGGATTCAAACTTAAACGGAAATCTCGTTTTGTTATGACTAATTTGCGATAATAGTTATATCAAAATCGATAGGTGATTATAAAAGTAATTCACTTCGACAGTTTTCGAAATAACACTGGACCCTGCATTGATTAGTCTTTTCGTATATTGTTTCACACCTCAGAGAGTGGCGAGTGGCAACAAAATTTACCTGTATACGGGCGTATACATGATAGGTCTGGATCCGTACCGGCTAAGTTGCACGTGTAACAAACACAACACCTAAATCTTACTTAAGTATATATTTTCTTGTTTTCAAAAGGAAAATGAGAGAAATACAGAAGTAATGAAATATAATGTCCTTTCTGACGCTTTGATGATTTATTCCCGAGACAAAATGAAACGTCCATTTAATGTTTACACATATGATGTATATAATGATTGTCCGTACTTCAAGGCTGATCACATGTAGCACTTTGTAAACAAAACACTTTAAATTACGAGTGTATATAAATAGGTATCTGATCCGTCTACTAGTGTCCAATCTATATATAAATGACTAAGTTAGGAGATCTACGTAGTTGTACACTATGTACACATTTATTTAGAAAATAAATAAACCCTATCCCACACTTACCTAAATGATTTTTAAATTTATATTAACCGCAATAGAAGAATCTGTGCAATAGAACCGCATAACGTGCACAGAAATGTGCTATAGCTTATTGTATCCAGTTTTTCTATTGTGCATACATCGTGTACACATCCTGAAATGTTCCCACAACTGTATGTTAAAGCACTGGTGTAGGAGAGTTGCTATTACAAAATTTGCTATGTCAACAAATTGATTTTTCATACGGGAATAACGCGATAAGGACCGTAGGTCAAGTGGCCTTCTTTATATCATCCTGTTGTGACCGTAACATATGACAAGTTACAAAACCATTCAACCAGCGGTTAAGGAGTAGTATTATTAAAAAGACAAACATGGCGATTAAGATTTATATCCTCATTCTTGTTTTTGGTGAAGTTTGATTAATAACATAGATTATCCAACGGCGCATTGGACTAATATGAACAGCCCCTACTTTTATATTCAAATATTTTATTGGCATCACTTTAAGCATAACAACATATCGACATAATTATTTTTGTCTGATGATAATCTTTCAAATCAGAGTATAATACCTACGCGTTTGCCTCTGTGATACCGCGTGGCTATCGAGCCTTTGTTGTTTTGGCGGCTGTGATAATGTTCTTATGTCTGAATCATCATCGAATTGTGATGTCGTGCTCTCCTTAGATTGGCTTTTTCGTCTATAAACATAAAAAATCAAATGTAGTGATGAGGCAATTCCAAACTTAATAGTTTGAAGAAATAGGTTGAAAAATCATCCATTGCATCATACATGTGTAGTTGTAATTGGTCGATCAGTTTTCGAAGTAATTACTGGAATTATTCATAATTAAATTGAATTATCTATGTGGTTTTTACTGCGTGTAATTGGAAATTTGCATTGAAATGTGTTATTCACTTATTTTTCTTGTAAACATATATTATAAACAAAACTTTAATTGTGGTCCTGATTTTTTTGTAAACTTAAGCAAAGTCTTTGATTTTTGGTAAATCATTATTATATCTTATGATGTAGTCCAGACTGAAAAGCTTATAATGGTGAGTTTACAACTAACTGGTAAAAGATAAATGTTCGTTATTGTTCATTTATTAATTATGGCAATGTTGATCAATTATAACATTGAAATGTATTCATTTTACAATTATGGATAGTGTTATGTACTTGGAAAAGGAAAAACCTTTGTTTTGCTGAGGAACTTCTACTTTACCATGGAAACATATCCGAAGTATTGCTATCATTGTGCATGTTGCATAGTAATAAGACTTGAGGTCAGTAAAAGTATGTAAGAAGTGCTCTGTCATGTTCAGCAATGCGATGTACTTTAAATAAGTACTTGTTGAATTACTTTTCACATTTCTTAACTTATTCAACTTTTTATTGTGGTGTTGTATCATACAGAAGAAACAGACTCAAATCACATTATTTTCATCTTGGGCAAACAAACTGTATTGGCAGATCATGACATCCATTGATCAAATAAATAAGGATTATAATAATAAAAACATTTAAGATGTTCACATCCATTTGACTACAATTTGAAGGTAAAGGCCTTTGATAATGAGATCGTTATATGTTATATGTACTCACCGTCTCAAAACTACAACAACCAGTACAATAACTACAATGATGAGGACAGCCGTTCCAACACCAACTCCGGCATGTGTTCCAATTTGGCTATCAGGATCGCTTGTCAAAGCCTCGATTTCTTAATATAGTAAGGGAGAATTCATTATTTATTTCTTTTATTAAATCAGTGGACATTAGTATCGATTGAAATCATAATTTCCAGTGCTTTAAAACCAAAAAGACATAGAAAAAGACGACAAGACAGGAAGAGGGAAACAGCTAGGAGAGACATACAGACAACAAATAGGGAGATAATAATGGAAAGACAGTGAAGAAGGAGAATCAGCGACAAACAGAAATATAGAGAAATATCGAAAGTGACCAACACAGAGCTAGACTGAAAATGCATAGAGATCAACAAAATGGGAAAGATACTAATAAAAGGACACGAAGATGGAAGGGTGAAGGCAGGTAGATGGGAGGGTTGGCAAGAATCAAGAAATGAAATGCTTTCTTTTTTGTTTAAGTTGAAAATAAAGGCTATGTTATACCTAGGCACCGTCCATCTTGCATGATGCAAATGTTGTTTTTACAGTTTGTGGGGCACGTCTGGTTGCAGAGACTACCATGAAATCCAGGTTCACATTCTGTGATATAAACGTAGTGTATGAATAGCGAAAATGATAAACGTTTTACCAAAACACACCTAATGAAAAGACATTGCCAGTAGCAGATAGTAAAATAACTGGTTTTTCATAAGCAAAAGTTAATCACTATTGAAACGAGACATCGGACAGTTTCACACACTGATTATATGCTTAAGCATTGAATTATGGAACTTCACAAAAGTTCCAACTTCCATTAAAATAAGACCAATAGATTCCGCCACTAAAAGTATATCATTAAAGTATATGAAGCATATATCATATGTCAGGCTTACGTACTTCAAGTATCAATAGAATATTTCTTCAAGAGCTTAAGAATAAAGACATCATAAACTATTCTATATCCGCAAATTAGTAAATGTTGCTTTTGAGGTTTTCTCATTAATTGTGATAGTTTATTCTACATTCCATACATTGTTTCGGTGAAAATGTCGATATTTGGTAAAATATCAACATCTCTTTTGTAAATAATCCTGAATGAATCCTGATTTACCATTTCACAATTGAAATGAGTGCTGATAGAAGATAAGTATTACTTGTGAAATGGCCTTTATTCAGACAACAAGCATTATCCTTGCAGTTTTTATGGCACTATTTGTTACAATTGCTACCACAAAAACCGATATTATATTTTGCAAAGAAAAAAGTATAACAAACATAACTTTACATCATATAGTGATGTATGTCAATGAAGCCTGCGTTGCCCTCGATTATTAAAATTGTGTTGACATGTCGGTACTTTTTCTAACCTTCCCTTTAAGAAAAGGCTGTTTTCCTATTTAACTATAAGATACACACGACATTCAAATAAACTGATCGTTTTTTATATTCCAGACAGTTCATTACACATCAAGATTGAAGAGCACCCTCAATGTAACCCGATCATCTGTCATCCTCGTGATATCGCTTTGATAAGAATACACATTTCTTGATATGTCGATGAGGAATTTTTAAGTAGCAAAGGAATGGCTACTTAGTCAATTAATAATTCTTTAAGTTCATATTTTCTAAACTTAGATCACTTTTATAAGCATTCTGACGTTTCGTGCATGGTTGAGCATACAAATTTTCAATTTTCCAAAACTTCTTGACTGTTTTGGACACATCATTACAATAACTGTTTTTTCTACTCATTCGTTTCTAACGAGAACAACTCATTCTACAACGTTTTAACTGCATGTGTGTTTGGTTTACAATTTCTGTTTCTGTAGGATAAATGATCATTTTCAATTAATGACATTCATCATTCTTGAAATTAACATAAAGATAAAGAGTGTCTTACCTGTGCATTCAGCACTGTCTATGTTACAAATGCGACCTTTGCAGTTAACTGGACATGACTGATTACAATGAATGTTGAAGTAGCCATCATTGCATTCTAAAACGAAATAAACCAAAATATGCATAAAAATAAGTATATTTACGATATATCGTACAATAAGAATAAACGTCTTTTGTCATCAAGTTAGCGACAAATGTTCCATTCCACTTTACGAATTAATCGCAAAATATAGCACATTCATGAGTTTATGAATTGTAGCGTTTCAAAAACATTATTATGTGAAAGAGGAAATGAAAAGTGTTTATGTCAAAAGAAATGTTAGAGGAGTAGATTTGATAAATTCGAGTAATATCTTTACACAAATAATTCGCTAGTTACAATATCATTAACACTACAGCCATATGGCATTTCAAGGTAAATTACGGAAGTTTATTCAGAATATGCTTGGTGAAAATGTGTATTACAGTTTGAAATGAATAAAGTTTTCTTTTTAAATTACTCTTTCCTTTAACACGAGTGTTATACCATTTCTTGTAGATGCCGCCCGGAGAAATTTTACCTTATGTCAACCAATACCTGATGACTTGCCCCATTACTTGATCAAGACAAATATTTCGATACATAAAAAGGGTTAATATTAATGTTAATGCTGTATGAATACTATATATTTTCGAAACATAAGAACTATGATCAAAATGAATAGAATGACAATACTATGTCTGTGCGTCATCGTTCAAAAGAGGTGTCTTATACCTTATGTCCAAATCCTCTAAATTTATGATGTGCAAAAACATTAACCTGAAATGTTTTGAAAACATGTTTTGTGTCTATTACATTCTTTGATTCATTACCATACTCGTAAAGAAAAAACGTTGATTGGGAATAATTTGATGAAAAAAAACCCCAATAATTTCAAATGTCTTTCCAGATGTAAAATAGTCACTGCGGTTTTCATTAAATTATTCAATTTCTACATTCCATTGACGAGACGGTAATAAATTATGCTATATTAGTAAACTATATTTAAAATTCTTTGAGAAAACATATATTTTGTTTCGTGTTTAAGGTAAACAAAGCATTGAACCGACCCCTACATAAAAACAATTACGTGTCCCGAAGAAAAGGCAAGAATCATTGAGCATATTCCTTCTTATAATATTGAATAGTCAATGGCATTTCAACGTCGTATACTTTTTAGAAAAAATTGGTTTGATAATGTATCCAAACAATATACAATTAACACCTAAGTAATTGTCATATTTCTCCTGATTGGCCGCAATTATCCAATTATCAGAACACAACAAGCAGTTCTGAAAAGGTAATAGAAGATAAAAAAAGGATTTAAATGAATGATTTTAGCAGTGTAACACAATAACATAAACATCATTGACGTTTTCTATTTTCAAAATAAGAATAAACTTAAACTTCTCTTTTCTCATTTCTCAAATTTCTAATAATTTTCTTATTAGATAAGGATATTCGATTCCGTATGAAAGTCTGACTCATTTGCTTGTAGAAGGCAAAGTATTAACAGTATTTACCTAAACAATAACCGGAAGTCTTGTTGCATGCATTATTGCGACAGCTATCGGGACATGGAGTACAGAATTGTCCGTAGTATCCGTCATTACAGTCTGAAATTTTAAATAATATATTAATGTGTCACATTTCAAGTTCTTCACAGATGGTTTAAACAAGAGGAAAGACGACTGATGTTAAACAGTTGATACAGTATAATTTCATAGTCAGCACATATATTGATATATTAATCAATAATCAAGTGACTAATTTACTTTATTTTAGAAAGATGTGTGGTGAGATTAGACAAATTGTTAACTATATGCTGAAGATTGGTATAACCTTCGATACTCATCAATCAAAGTATTCATAGTTATGAATGGTAATATCTTCTCTTTTTTCGTTTTACAAAATACGTATTTTCCCGAAGTTATTTGAGTTTGACAGTATACGATTAAGTGCTGAAGGATTTACTAAAGAAAGGCTGTAATATTTTACTCCAATGGTTGACGTCGCCCCTTGGGCATCAGTTAGTGATTTAAGGACAAAATAGGCAAGTTTTACCTAATAATCATCATTGACTTTAAGCATAAGATTTACATATTTTCAAAGATACATCCAAAAATGCTATTTACAAGTGTAATTCTTTGGCACAATATTATAAAACATCAAATGTTTCACACATACGCCATGCAATACAGGCATCTTCCAGTTCTCATATTGTAAAAATATTGTTTTGGCACAATTCACTTTTAACACGGTGTCATGTCAATAAGTAAATTACAGAAAGTATGGAATCATGCATTCATCTGGATTGATATATTAACAATTCTGATTTCGCAAATAGCGCAATCATATTTTAAGAAAATATTTTTAGCGTGAAATGGACGTATTCAAAATAATCATAATCTTCACAGTAGATTAACATGGATGCGAAAGCTATTGGAGTTTTTAACACTACCAAACAAAAACTATTTTACCGTTACAATACCCGGTATCCGCTGGGCAGGTTTCATCTCTACAATTGGCTGGACATCTACAGTATGTGCCCGAGAATCCAGGTGTACATGCTGGAATGAATATTAGCAATATACACTTGTAATGTACGATAAATGAACATTAAAATTACAAGACATACTCATGGTATCGTACACTCACTAGCCTATACAAGCAAACCACTGGTAGTCAAAAGTTTTGACAGAGGGTATGATATCACCGACATCTGTTCTGATTACTTATCAAACGACTATTTAGGCATAGGGCATTTGAGAGTATTAAAATAAACCACAATTCTATTCGACTATCTGATCATTATTTATGACAAGTTTATGCCAGGTAACTCGGATATAATATCATGTACTTTAGGTTGAAAAAATATAATATTCTTCTCGCAAATAATTTCAAACAATAAAATTCTTAAGTCATTTAAAGCTTGCTCAATTCGTAAAATCTTTTATCTTTTGTAACACTTTTATTGTCAATGTGGACATACATTATTAAACTCGTGAAACTTGATTTGCAGCCCCATTGTTTTATGTGGTTATGAATTACAATTCCAATAGACTGATTGTCTGATTCACAGTGTCATTATTAATATATTGCAGTGTACAGAAAGATATGATACATAATTTACAAATAAAAACGTCGATTAGCAGATTTTTTCAACTAGAACATCATTGGGGGTAATATGCAGATTAGCAGCCTCCGACGTAAAGTTAAGGATGGGCAGGAAAGTACAGTATTTCAATAGAATTTTGGCGGAAAAGCAGAATTTGAATCGCTGTTAACTGACAACAACACACAAGGGTTCTTTTTTTCATTTGTTTTCTATCCTTAAGTTATTGTAAAATCAAAGATGGCCGCCTCTCATAATTTTTCCCGATTAGTTCCAAAAGCGAAAGGACACAACTCTTCTTAAGGACCTAGGGGAATCTATATATAAGAAATCTAAGAGAAGATTCATCCCTTACTTCTAAAGAAATAACGAAAGCAAGAATTATTAACCGATTGACAGACGCAGACGGAACACTAATTCACGTCTGGCAAATTTTATATGCGAATAATTGTCACTCGAATGCAATTATATATACAAATAATATCCGATTAATATCATATTAGATATTTTCCTTAGCAATTTATTCATTCTCTAAGATGTCTTACCTATGCATTCACCACTGGTTCTGTTACACCCCATGTTATCACAGTTATTAGGACAGACCAAATCACAGCGAATGCCATAGTAACCAATATCACACTCTGAAAAAAAATCAAATTAAATCATCAATGACCATATCACTGTTCTTATTCGAGCAGATCTATTCCTAACTAGCAGATGTATACGTCACTGCAGTAAATATGTAATCATCTTTCAACAACAAGCAACAATTCAAAGTCATCAAAACTGTTGAGCAAATTCACACATCTATCGATTTGCTACAGTGAAACAAGACAACGTTACTACTATTTTTTAAACGGCTGTTGTATCTGAATTTCTCAGCTTAATAAATCAGAGGTTTCACGTGTTTTTTTGATATCTAGTCAATACTTTCTTATAAAGGAGGAGTGCCAATTTGGGCCTTCTGGCGGCCATGACCGATATTTTTTATTTCTTGTGTAGGAATTCCTTGGGGTTAGGCGGTCATGATATGACATAAAATTAAGGTCAGATCTGAGCCATTCATTAGTTATGGGGGGGGGGGGGGGGGTAAAGTGGGGGGTAAAATTCATAAACAGCTCCATTATGACAAACCTACGTTATATTTTTGGATTTTTTCTTCTTAATTTTCATGTAATAATCCATATCAAAACATTCATTAGTAAAATTGATTGAAAAAAATATTCCATTGTTGAAAAGTAGGTCATGGTAATTAAGCTCATTAATTGCTAATTATATTAAAGATGAACATAATTTTCTGCCTTAATGCACATAAAAACAATACCTTTATCATGTGTCATGCTTTAGTAAGATTTATTTTTGAATACTTTATAGAAAATGGAGAATTAATTAATGGGAGGGGGCGGGTTCACACTTTTGACAACTTTTGGTTGATATCAGAGTTGTCTTATGTAATTATATTAGATAATAAATATCTAATAAATAAATGTTAAATTGTACTGCATTAAGAACTGTTTAAAATAAATTGCTTGATAAATGTAGAGATATTTAAACCAGTTTGGTACGGCTGGTTGAGCTTTAAGCTAAAATGGCGGGATATAATGCTATCCCCTGACATATACCTTGTTAAGGATCTTTGTGTCTACCGGTGAGTATACATGTGCACCTTGTCTCAGACAGTTCATATACCCTTATATATACAATTAATACGTGGCAACTGCACTTCACAACCTCAGCGATTTTAGTATACTTTCTTGGTTTGACTGTCACTGATATTGTACATATAATTTAGACATATAATTGTAATTCAACTGTTGTTCATAATTTTGTTCATCCAAATTAAGGTTTTAATAAGGAGTGTTTTCTAAGTTTATGCCCTGTTTTCTTTTCTTTTATCAATATGCCAGTGCACAGGCAGTGCGCTTGTTGTAAAGCACAATATAAAGTAAGGCTCTGTTGTCTGAATAAAACAGACATTCTGTCTTACTTGAAAGCAAATATTAATGATGCCTTAAGGTTTGGTGACCCCGTATGTAAAAAATGCAGGGGAAGATACTACAATCACCATTCATCTACTGAACATCCTAGTAGCGATGTAGAGCACCAGCTTGAGTCACCTGAAAACAAAAAAATCAAACTTGACATTCCACGGGCTACATTAGGTGAATCTCGATGTTTCATTTGTAAAATGTTAAGAGAGGAATGTAAAAGTAAAATGGTAATGCTCTCAACAGAAATGCGAGTAAAGATTTTTATTAAGACAGGTATCCTTGTCCCAAACACCTGCAGATGTTGTTCTTCCCACATAGTGAATGGTGATTTCCCATCTGATAGTCTATCTTCACTCGCATATTCCAGCAAAGACACTGAACTGGATTCTTCTGAAATATCAGAGATCCTTTTGACACTTAGGGCAGCTGCTTCAAAGAAAAGTTGTTTAGACTTTGATTCCTCAGATGGATTAACTGATCAAGATTACTACCGTCTCACAGGTCTGTATAAAAATCAATTTTCTGACCTTTTACGATCAGTTAATCCCTCTCTTTACTCTACACTGAACAGAAGCGCAAGGACTGCATTAGCCATCCTGCTTGTGAAGTTGAGGACTGGCATGTCTTTATCAATATTAGCTTCTCTGTTCAACATGACAAAGAGAATATGTGGAAAATGTATTCATTCAGCTCGCCAAGCATTGATGACCCACTTCGTTCCTTCACACCTTGGCCTGCAACACATCACTAGAGAACAAGTAATTCAAAACCATACAACGGTATTTGCAAGGAAGATGTTTACCTCTGGTGAAGATGTCGCTATAGCTGTTGCTGATGGCACATATATTTATGTTGAAAAGTCCAGCAACTATACTTTCCAACGACGCTCTTTTTCGATGCACAAAGGACGCCCTCTCCTGAAACCAATGCTTCTTGTGGCCTCAGATGGCTATATACTGTCTGTCCTAGGCCCATATTTAGCAGACGGTCGAAATAATGACGCCAACATTACAAAACACATGTTGAAAACTAACACTGAGAACATCAAGGATTGGTTTCAAGATGATGATGTTCTTGTCGTTGACAGAGGCTTCAGAGATGTGACAGAACTGTTGAATGATGCTGGCATCAAAACAGAAATGCCATTTTTCTTGCCAAAGGGGCAGAAACAACACACACATACTGAGGCAAACGAATCTCGTCTTGTAACAAAGGTAAGGTGGGTTGTGGAGTCGGCAAATGGGCGGATTAAGCAGTGGAAGACCTTGGGACATGTTTTGCCCAACACTCTCATTCCAGTTGTAGGTGATTTTGTGAGAATTGTGTGTGCAATTTGTAATGCTTTTCCCCCCACTTGCCTCTGATTCTCCCAATGACCTCATCATTGCTGAGCGAATGTTGGCTCTGTCAAAATGTCCCAATAAATTGCAAATTCAAGTTGAAAAAGAAGGTTTGGCTAGGAAAAGAGCCATTTGGGTCAAGCTTGATGAGGCCAGTTTGCCTGACTTTCCTCAGCTGACAGAACCGGAGTTGAGAGATCTTACCATGGGAGTATATCAGTTGAAGCAGGCAAAGTCATATACCATGGAGCACTTGTCTGAAGATGGCCAGTATGAATTAATGGCATGCAGGGAAAAGCCTGGCTTAATTAAAGTTCAGATTCGTTCCAGACATGTTGCTTCGAAACTGTACAACCTGTGGATTGAGTATTCCCCTGGTTTGACTCCTATATCTGGTTGGTATTGCCAGTGTAAGGTTGGTGCCAGGGTAGTGGGCTGCTGTGCCCATATTGCATCTGTTCTCTGGTACCTTTCTTATGAGCGACACCAGCCTAGGATAGCACACCCAACTGCCTCATCAAGCTACCTCAGCTGTGCTGATGACGCAATGATGATTGAGGACTGGTCTGAGTCTGACGGTGACAATGAGTAACTAACTATGTGTACGACCATTGTATGTATAGTGGAGTGAAATGCAACACTAGAGGTTAAGATTGATATCTTTCATTAGCCATTTCTGTGTTAATACTTCGGTAAAACCACTAGATACAGACATATGGTCAAAGTTGTCGAACTAAAATTCAAAGCACCGCCTCTTCTTTGTTTTCTTTAAAGTATGCAAAAATATTTCTTATTAAAACATGGTACATGATAAAGGTATTGTTTTTATGTACATTAAGGCAGAAAATTAAGTTCATCTTTAATATAATTCGCAATTAATGAGCTTAATTACCATGACCTACTTTTCAACAATGGAATATTTTTTTCAATCAATTTTACTAATGAATGTTTTGATATGGATTATTACATGAAAATTAAGAAGAAAAAATCCAAAAATATAATGTAGGTTTGTCATAATGGAGCTGTTTATGAATTTTACCCCCCACTTTACCCCCCCCATAACTAATGAATGGCTCAGATCTGACCTTAATTTTATGTCATATCATGACCGCCTAACCCCAAGGAATTCCTACACAAGAAATAAAAAATATCGGTCATGGCCGCCAGAAGGCCCAAATTGGCACTCCTCCTTTTGGATGAAGATTTGCATGTGTTGTCTACTGAAGGTAAAGGATACAAATGTTACTTATCAAAGAAATAACCAGACATATGGTAGTCACCCTGGACATCGACATGGTCACTGTCTTTAAAAGTTTTTTTGGCAGGTTTTCACCATCAAAACCGGATAATCACCACCAAGAAGAGAAGCTGATTGGATAACTGAATCTTTGATAAAATTTTTGTTCTTTTATTTTTTCATTTTAGCAACATTCTTTCAAGCAACAATGGATTACAAATAGAGGGGTACATTTAATTAGTAAATAGTTGAAGCATTTATATGAAATGTTAACTATGCCGAACCATAGTTTTCATATTCATGGCGCCGAAAAGGTGTTTGTTTGTTTTTTTTTTACTTTTTGTAACCAGTCTTACGTTAAGACTTTTATATCAAAGTTTTTTTTGTTAGTTTTCAAAGGGTGTATTGCGGACTTTAGGGCAGACAACTAAAAAAGAAGTTCCCTTATTAAATGGTAGCAAACTTGCTTTCCTGTAATGCAAATTTTATGCCGCAAGAAACAAATAATTGTTTTATTTCATTAGTTTTTTTTCAAGTAGTATATTATCCCTAATATCATTGCAGTTGATTATTAAAAACAGTTGTTTTTGTATCAGCTTTCGTCAATATGATGAACATAATCTGTCATATTTATATGACCGAAAAGAGTTTAATATCTGTTATCATACTTTGGGATCAATGCTTGTGTTTAAGTGTACGTTTTAGGTATTTTTAACATCAATATTTGTCGTCCACACTCAATATTTGATATGCCGAACATCACTTCTTAATCCTATTGTTGTATATAGTGCATCTATTCCATAGTGTTAATTGCTGCTTAACACAGACGGGTTGTGAAGGCGGTTGAGATGTTATTCTCATTAACTTTTAATATAGACTATCAATGTCATACTCTTTTCAATGTTATATGTATTGTTATAATCTTCCCTAAAGGTCGTTGTTTAAAAGACAGCTTTTAATTGAACATGTTCGAATTAAGATAATTTGATGATGTAATTTCCCTGAAATATCATGTCGCAGGAAAACGAAACCTACCGTACTGACAAGAGAATGGGAATGATATGTTTCATTGTCTAGACCACTTAGACATTACAATATAAAGGCTATCGACCAAGATTTGTTTTAATCTTTCAATTTAATAATACATCTTATAACTACCATATCAATGCTGTTAGGAAAATGTTTCAAATTTACATTTACAGGTTTACAACTAAAACAACAATTTATTCATCGCGAGGTTAGTTGGAATTAAAAAAAAAGTATACATTGATTCTTTGCAAATATCACTAAGATACGTGTATATTAGTTCGTTTATCATATAATATTCGGTATGCTGAAAGTATATTTAAAATGCATGAATGTTACATAGGTGTGTAGTGTGTAAATCATGTTTAGGGTTGCGGTTATTCAATACAAATTATGTAATGTGTACATTATTTCAAGGACACTTTATCAAACCTCTGTTAAGATATTTTAAGTGTTTTCAATAATGCCCAGACCAACAGTTGGGAAATCAATAAGAAATATTACGAGTATGGAATTGTTCCCGAGCAGCATGAACTCTAAATATTGATTTCGTAGGTTTAATTTACTTTGGTAAATTTGGTATGAAATGTAAGCGCAGTACATTTGCATATTCTCATTTAAGGTTATGTTGTAAGTTTGCAGTGGAAATATATATTTTTCACATTGCTTCTTGAATTAAAGTATATGGGAAAATTATTCGAGATTTTATCACAAACAAATTAAAGTTATGTTACCGTTACAATAATCGCCAGGGCAGCTTTGATCTCTACAGTTGGCTGGACATCTACAGTGTGTGCCGAAGAATCCAGGTTTACACGCTGAAAATATGTACAACATACATTATGTTCTTATGAATTGATGTTTATTGTACATTAAATATTATCAAGTACGTAAACAAAATTTCATCATTGAGGAATAATGTTGTTAAAATAACATGTGTATGGGTAACAGAGGTACGCTTAACTAATGCTTGCCATTGTAGTGATGTTGCAGATATTGGTATACAAGGAAACATATATAAAAGTAAATACTATAAAGCTTTTATAGGACCACTATCTTGGCAATGATAACATGCCTTAAAATATAAGAATATCCGCAAATCCAACATGCATTCCTGTAATCTGATTTTTGACCTTAGGTCATCTTATCTCTCTGACAATTGTTTGTCTTTCATGCTGATTATGAATGTACCTTTCTTTCTATTTGTTTTGGCGATTGCTGTATAATTGAAATAAAATTGTCTTATTCAATATACAATACATGGACATGACATATAAATGTGCATTTTAACGTAAGGAATAAAGATTAAACAGGAATAGGTGTTGCAACTGATTTAAGTTGAGAAAAAGACATGGTAATAGGTAGTCTATTGTCAAATTAGTATGGTGAAGCATCCCGATACACGCGTTTGCTAATGCGCAAAAATCCTAGCAACACCTCAACAGAAAAACCGTGAGGAAAATGGGTCAGCCTTTCAATTCGTAAAGTGAATTAAAAAACATAGTTTTTAAAAACCAATTCTACAATTCTATATTGTGTTCTATCTATAGTCCAATTACTATAGTAATTATACACGTACTATAAATTAACAATGTTCAGTGTAAATGCACGGTGTTCAATACTGAAGGAATAAATATTGTCTTACCTGTGCACTGACCATTGCTTCTGGCACACACATTAGTTAAACAGTTACTCGGACAAGTCAGATTACAACGATCTCCATAGAAGCTATCAAAACATTCTAAAACGAAGAAATCAAAAACTGTTTACAATTTAAAAAGATTGACATAATAGCTTTTATTCTAACAGGTTTATTCGTAAGCGGTCTGCTTTGTACATCTATAATGTTAGCAAACTTGTAACATTCTTCCAAAAGTAAACAACAGACCAAAGCCGAAAAAGTTACTTACTGATTCCAATCATCGTAGGACAACAATCAGTTACTAAGTAAGCATAGTTATAGAAGATAATCAAGTGTGACCTTTGCAGGTTATATATCGATTTGCATGGTCGCTGTTACCAACACGTAATACGCACACACTGACGGACGCACAGCCGCAGAGATCGCAATAAATAACTCATTATATGTTGATAAACATAAAAGGCACTTATAAAGGCATGTCACATTCAGATGACAATTATCATTCATGACAAGATACACCCAAACAACATCCCATTAAAAACTCTTTGATACACCTTTCCCCTTTGAAAGTCATATTCACTCTCAATTAATAAATAATTGCCTAACCTGTGCACTGACCATTGCTTCTGACACACACATTACTTATACAGTTTCTCGGACAAGTCAGATTACAACGATATCCATAGTAACTATCAACGCATTCTAACCAAAAAAATGTGTTTTAATTCAAAACATTTCACTTAATTACTCGTATTGCAACAAGTTTATTCCGAAGCTGGTCTCTCTACTTTATACATCTATAACTTCAACACACCTGTAATATTTTACATTCTATATACAAGCCTTATGTAATGTGGCACGCAGCGGAATCTATATCAGACATTCGCTTAATTGAAAAATTATGTTAATTGTTGTCTGTGTCTTCAACTCATTCATCATGATCTCTTTGTTTCCAATCGTGCAATGATGATATAACGAATTTGGTCGCGACCTGTGGGCAATGCTCACTGAGCATACCATCTCCGTAAGGACTTTCTCCATGGAATTCTGACGGAGTTTGGCTTCGATGAGAACAATGCTTGTAGACCAGATAATAATATCACTTTTACCCAAATATTGTTTGGTGAAATCTCAGCGTTCCAGGATAGCGCCTTATTGAAACTCCTCTTAATGAAGGCAGCGCGTTATGTTTTCAGCGTCACGCGCTCTCTTTCAAATGTCCGGTTGGAGTACTGAAGGACAATGAATGTACAGAGACACTTCGCGTGCGCGATATAAAATATTTGTTATGCCATGATTTACGCTGTCTGAACTTTGAGTTTTCATGATTTTTATTTCATTTTTTAATAAAACATCTCCTTAAAGAGGAAATAAAAAACTTTGATGATGATGATGATGATGTAATACGGACACACTGACAGACGCACACCTGCAGAGACGAGAAAAACGTTTCGTTTGGCTGCGTGATTTTTACTGTATTGATAACAAATTCCCAGATTTCTTAAAGACGATATCTTCAGATTAAGACTATTTGATGCTGGCATGTTAAAAAAAAAATGGCGTGTCGTAAGCAAATGGCGACATCTCACTCCAGCATACTATAAATAGAATGATTGAGATACGGTTCATACACCAAATGCCAATCAGGTATCGGTAGCTAAAGAACATTTAGAATATCATGCCTCTGGAGAGAACCAATCAATTGGAAAGTAAAGTATCTAACCGTGTACAGGGATTTATAATACAAACGACAGATGAAGGTAGTAAAATTGCCTGAATATTGTTCCGTGTATCTTCGTGCCAATGATAAAGCAGACACACGTTTTAATATATTAATTCTTAATTTATTCTTTTTTTCACTTTTATAATTGTTTAATATGCTTAACGAAAATAAATAATTATGTTAAGAAAAAAATTCAATTTGACACCTTCTGTGATATAACGAAAGTTGTAGCATCAGCTTACACAGGGTCTTTATGGAAAAGACAATAGGCATCCATTATTTGTACTGATTACGCTTTAACAGGCGTATCATAAAAGATATAATACAAAAACGAACAAATAAGTAGCAAATTTCAATGCATGTTATGCTATATACGCATCATTTCCAAATATTTGGTGGAACTTCATCATACATATGTTAGACATTACCAGTACAATAGCCGGTGGGTAGAGGACAGCTAGCATCTTTACAGTTGAGTGGACATCTACAGTATGTGCCGGAAAATCCAGGTGAACATTCTTAAAAGAAAGTGCAACATACTTTTAGTTTGATGAATTTTTGAAACTATGGTATTAAGGAGAATATCTTCTGCTGGGCAACGAGCGGGATAAGACAGGTGTTATTAAGGACTGTTCCAGTTGATTAAAAATGAGAAATGGTCATAACCATCATCCAGTTAATGTTAATTTTTAGTTGTTTTGGGCAGCATGAAAAATGCGGGTGGGAAATATGGGTACTGTATTTCCTAGATTAAACAGATAAACAGATGTATGATATGAACCCGATTACTTCATTAGTTATAGAAAGGTTCAGGGAAGCTTAATCTTCATTATATTATGCAGTTTACATATATCATACGCTAACATATTCTAATCCCGGAGAAATTCAACATAGTGTTTAATTCGGACAGAGTGACAAAATTGATTTTATTTCAAAGACTCGATGTAAAGAAGAAAATTGTGATTAAGATTAAACAATTAAAATTATCACAAGTGATTTTGTTTTTCTTTTCGGGACTGATATGCAGATATGTCAACGCGTTGGCGAAAACAATATTGGTCAATACATACTGTATGTCACCTTCTGCATATAACATAACCAAGGCCCAAAGAGACATTATCTCCCATATAGCTTTGTTTGCCTGAAATTAACTAAAGCAACTAGAGAAAAAGAGTGCCAAAGGTGAACATCTACATCCCCATTTCGCTCTATCCTTCTGCCTCCAGGGATGCAGCAAGAACATTCGGACAAAAATCTCCTCCATAAAAGAAAGAGGGCCGAAACCTACTATTCTTATCAAATATATTTCCCATGATCCAAGGAAGCTTTGAACCGAATTGTGATATTAGCTATGTATTCCGTCTTATTATGCAAAATTAATTCCCAGTCGCCTTAGGACTCATCGGACCAAATTGGGAAATATTTCTTACAGGTTCTGGCACAGGTGTGGAATGCAGATGGAATCAAATAAAGCTTCATTATTATTATGACAAATTTATATAACCTTTCCCCTTATGCACAATCACAGTAAAAAGGAAGAAATACGTGCATTGTTGGTGTAATATCTAACCACACCGGTATCATATGAGAATATATCAACTTGGTAGGATTTTCTTACCTATGCAGGCTCCAGAATCACTCGCACAAAAATTGTCCTTACAATTAACTGGACATGGAACGCAACTTTGAGAATAATATCCAGGTGCACAAATATCTGAAAATCGTGTATCAACCGATATCACATATAGAAAATAACAAGAAAATAAACAACAACAAAAATATCGACATGTCACATTAATCTCAATGAAAATCAAAATTTAATACAACTACGTCAAAATATGAACAAAAAGAACACTTAAACGAAGAAGAATTACAAGGAGAACAAGACCACGTGTTCTTAAAGTGTAAGCGACATTTGGTCGATCGACAATACCTGTCATGTAAACCATGGTCAATCAAAGTAAAAAGCGTCACATTCCCAAATGAGAATACAGCAAATAACAACGGAAGCTCCAAGCCAACTTTCGAACATCAAGGAGTTCCAACTACATACTGCACACAGAAATATAATATTTCCACATGAAATCATTATAACAACTGTTAAATTTCTTTGCAAGCATCTCTCAAGAGTTTGCGTTGTGAATTTGTATCATGATGTGTGTCGTGATGCCGATATTCGTGAAAATGAGAACATGTCCTTAAGGATTGAATCAACTGCGACACTACAGTTAACATTATAAGATGAGGATTTAGGATTTCCATTTCTTTTGGATATATACGGTCGACATTATCAATAAATATCTTGTTATTGAAAGACAAGACGTCACCAATATGCATTGTATCTGAAAGTGATATAGAAGGACTTCGCAAAGCCTCTGTGACCTTTTTGGTAAACTCTTCTACATTGTTCTTTTTTCCTCGTATGAAAAAATCAAGTCAGCAAAGAGAGTACATGTATGCCAAATGTTTGTTAGAAGATCTTGTCACCGATCCCGACGACGATTTGATTTTTTCTTTGCTTCAGTATTCTTCACAACTATATTATTTGACTGTTCTGCCTTTCCTTGAAAATAAGACTCTCATATTACTAGCACGAAAGTACGTTCCAATCTAACGCATATTCATCAAGTAAACTGATGACTATCTAACCCATACCTGTGTAGTTCAGCCAATGAACGGCCTTTGATAGAAATCGTTGATGGATTATTCCTGGAAATACGTAAATCACACACACACACCATCACACGAACACGCACACGCACGCAAGCACACAGCAGGCCGCTTAAGAAAGGTGGCGCAGTGGTAACGCATATGTCCAGTATATGTCATGTATCACTGAAATGCCGACAGCGAATCTTTTTTAAGATACAATTCAGCAGATCAATAGCAGAAATCGATAAGCCATGAAACCTAAAGCAAAATTGACAGAAAAAAGACTCATGTAAGTTAATAGAGATACATGATCATGAGTTGAATTCTTCAAGTAACGTTTTAGTATTTTGTCGATATTAAGGAAACAGCATGTACGGAATGTGTGTGTAATTTATTATGTAGATGATTTGTATATATTTACGTACCACACATATTGGATGATGGTTTGCACGTATACCCATAATTAGTGCAGGTTGTACAGTCACTGTCGCAGTTTCCTTCTCCGTACTTACCAACCGGACAACCTGCAACAACAAGTGAAACTTCTGAAGACAAACAGATAATTACATTTATGAACGTGAATGCTTTCAAAGCAAGGATTTATTATTAATCTATATTAGAGATGAAAGATCTGACACATTTTACAAAAGTTATGTTTTTGTCGCCACACGTATAACGCGATACATTTAAATCTTTCTTTTATTCTAATTTTATAATAGATACAGAGCGGCGTGATATGAAGAATAATGATGTATAGTTTGTTTTAGTTTCAGTTCCGAAATTTGGTGAGACCGAATATCGATACTGCTGCAAACATCTTTTTCTTTTTAAATTCGTCATTCTTTTGGATACAAATATAATGCAATGTCTTTGTTTAAAATTACATCAATAAATACAATTTGATTATCTGAACACTTATCAAAACAATGAAAAGATAGCACAATGGATTATTTCCAATATTTGTGGTTTTCTAATCTCCCAGGATGAAGCAATTGTATTACGCAATGCAATACATTATTTCATGACACTGTATACAATTTTTTATATCGGAAGGTGCTTTTCACTTGTGTGTCTTTTTGTACAATCTTCGAGAATACAAGTAAGTAGTAGACATTGCTTCAAAAAGTGGACATCAGTACACTGAACTTGCTGTTCTATTCAAATCATTCAATGTATGAATGCAGTTTCATTCATTGCTTGGCTATACTCTATCAATTTCCAAATGCATTGAAATATGATATTCACGTGCATATTGTGTGTACACTATTCAAGGATGACTTCTTGCTTTGCCTTAAGCTGAATTAGTTAATATGCGGAGAATTGGTGAAGTATGTAACGTGCACCCTTATGGTAGCGTGCGTGAACGCCGGGCTCTCAATTTATACGGAGCTACCTGCTCCAGAGGCGATCGGGATACCTCGGCTACCTGGCCGTACAGTTCAACAAAATAACACAAACAATATATCAATATACACTACAATAGAATGGACAGTACCCCTGTCCTCCCTACACCGCCGCCTGGACGTAGATCACACCACAAGGCTACAATACACAACAACACTCAACAGCCTGCCAGCACCACGACACTGTCACTACTACAGGCACGTTGCCGAGCTGACCACCGTACAGCTCCGACGTTGCCTGCCAGTGTCCAGCTGTTACAAAGTACTAAGGTAAGGTGTCAGTTTTTGTATCAGCAGCCAGGCGTACCAGAGCAGCCTTTGCAGGCGACTCCTTATCCAGGAGCTTCTGGCGTACCTGACTCGTCAATTTACTGGCACCAACCACACTGTTACCCGAGTAATCTTATTCAGGCAACCCCTTATGCAGGAGCTTCTGGTAACAGTATGCAGCCAACGCTTACCTTATCGTTTCCGCTGTACACTCTGTGTGGCTTCAGAACTTTCAGCCCCCTGTACTGGTTTCAATTAGCCTTTACATAAAATTTGGTGTAACATTCTGGGTGTCATTATTTTGCAGATTAACAAAGCACCAAAACCTATCTCATAACCCAAAATACGTAAGACGTATATATTTATTCACTTATAAAGTATGATTACATATATAGAAAACACCAGTTTTCTTTACAAATCACTCAATCATTGTTAATTACATTAATTAGGTATATTACATGAAGGGAGATAACTCAAACTGAATAAAATCATCACAAAGTATAACATTTTAAAGGTTTTCGTCAAAGGTGAAGATGATATGAATAAGATAAAACGTGGCATGCATATTACAGCAACCCTCGGGCGCCAAAAGCCCACCAGTCGTGTCTACTACATGCTTTCTCGAAGATTGTACAGAAGGTACAAATGTAAATAACACTTTCAAATACATTTTTGAACAAGATACAATAGAGTCAGACCATTATTTGAACTGTAACATACAACTGTCTCGTCCTTCTAGGACTTGCCAGCAATGTCAAGGTTACTAAATTTTGAAGCCTATGTGGCGACTATTGAAAATCGGAATGTGTACTAGCCCTGGAAGTTAATCTGCAGTCATCACCGTTTTTAGTATACATTATTACACCATGACAACAATTAATCAAAATTAACACATAAACTCATGAAATCTACGGTACATTTCGCTCCTTTATGTGCAGACTGTTAGTATAATAGTTGTGGTGTTTGGCAGATTAAAAGAAACGTCGGATCTATAGTCATGAATACCAACATTGTTATCGAGGAATATATCTATATGTGTTATCAATTTAACCTTGTCATTGCTTTGTTCAGCCATCACATCGATTTATTTACAGGAAATTCTGTTGTCGTCGAAGGGCTCAATTGTTCGAGCTATATTTGAGGTAATACGACGTTAGATGTTTTTCATCAAATCTAAAATGACTACACTAAACGATCGCTACTGGAAATTATTAATTAAATACGCATCTTCACAATACATGGAATATTTTCTTTTTGTTTTCTACTTCATTCTTTTAAACGACAAGACGACGAAGACTACGATTATACCGTCGACAATGGTGAGTTAAAGTACGATAAAAGTGATGTAAGTTTGAATGTGATTTAGAAACAGAATGAGATTCATATACACAATGTCATGTAATTCTTAGAAATGTAAGGACTTCATTACACTAAGGAAGCCTATTCGAATATTTTCAATTCTACTTATCTTCTTATATCACTATATAAATTATTTGATTACACAATTTTTACAGAATGTTATCTAGCACTAACGAGATAGATAAGGTTATAATGATATAATCTATCACATTATAATGAGAAAAATTATTTATTAATAATTAGATGAGGACACATTCAAGATGACAAATATATGCTTCGTAAACAAAGGTTTACATATTATTCTCTTCAAACTGAAATGATTCTATGACGAATCTAACTTTTTTAACTCCCGTAAGCCTAAAAAAATGAGGTCAAGGTCATTTGTATGAAAACATCTTACAGCACTCAACACACGAGTACCGTTGGTCTTACGTAACTCTTAAACGTGAGACACATTTGGCTCCTGTTACCTTAAACCTAGGTAAATATCATTTCAACAAAGACATGTAACTTTATAGCATACCATCCGAGAAACTGTCTGACCAAACATGTTTTCTCCAACTTGATAGGAAGATCTTTCATTTTCTAAACATATTGGACACGTGTTACTTCGCAAATAGGTCAAGGTCATTTATCTTAAAGAATCTTTTCAGCGCTCCACCCTAGATGCAAGCTGACATAATATCTGGACTATGGCTCTGAAGGAACTTCATTATTCAAGCATATTTGGCCCGGATACTACCTTGAACATATATCGAATTCATTTTCAAAAGATACTTTCAGGACAATTATCAGAATTCTGTGTTTTCAAAAACCAGACGTTTGAAAGACATTCGAGTCCTGTGGTTTTAACAATATGTCAAGGTCATTTATGTGAGGAAAGTTCTCGCACTCTCTTCATATAGCATACCTCCTCTATAAATACATCTGTCCTGTTGATCCTGAGATTTTCAATAGGTAAGACCTTCACAATAGGTCGAGGTCAGTCATATGAGAAAATAATGGAGACAAATATCATGATTAATCAAGATTTTCCATGTTTGTAGATCTTTACATTTTGAGTCTGCATTTATTGTTTGTCTGGAAACGTGTAGTTGGTAGATTTATTTTTTGAAATTATCATATTAAAGATTATTGGTCTTTGTCTATATGTGCAAACCAATATATTTACTGATAACAAGGTTTTGAAATTAAAACCTCTATACCCAGTAATTGCCTTTCATAACCAATACAGTCAATTAAGGTATTTGCTCCCTTTTCCCAAATTTAGTGGGTCTTTACAGTTATATGTGTAGTGTTCTGCGCAAGTCATCAAGTCAAGTCAGAGTTACAGGCCTTTTGTGTATTATCTTCAGAGTTAATACAGTTTCATGTTACGCAGCCATTTTGTGTTGGTGTTGATGTTGATTCAATTCGCCTGTGATTTGATTCGTCGTGGTAGGTCTACACATTGGGACCAACGATAAGAATCGCTACAATATTGAACTCGTTTAATGCTAGTCGCAATATACAGCTCGGCTATAGACCTGGTACGATTGAACGTAATAATAGTAAGCCAAATGTCCAGGGTATGAATCCAAGTGCTGTCATTGAAATTGATAATGACCTCTGTTACATGTACTTTATAAAGAACTTACCTTGTTGATTATTTAGTTAGAGGCATTTTGTCTCCGCAATCGACAAGTGTCTTAAGAATTACTGTCGTATTGAATTCTATATCTGTATAGGTACATATGTCTTATCCATAAATTTTTCATTACTCAAATCGTTATATAAGATCATATATTGATAAATTTGTTAGAAGTAAGATATAATAATGATGAAATGTCCATTCTCTCCCCAGCTCATTAATATCTATAGTGTATTAAAGTAATACACTGCTTTCAGTGACGTTCTTCATTGAATTGGCATTCCTCTGTCCATGAATACCAGATGAAAGCAGTTCAGTGTGTATATATGTAATTTTCAATCTTGATATGATACGGTTACATGGTAGGAATGTCTACCCACGGTAAATATTTTGGAATGAATATAACGGAACTCATTAGGATAAATAAGTCAACAACATAAGATACATTATACAAATATTGGCAACAGTTAAGTTCATCATTATGATATTATTATGTACTTACCGTAAACGTTCACTTCACACAGTTCCAAAACGGCATCATCCGAATACCACGACTTCGACTTCATCCGACGATCGTTGTAGATGGTTACATAGCGAGCGACTCCTGAACATCGAACGTGTGGTGTCGCTGTCATGGACTGCAGGTAAGCAGTATTATCCTTATAACACCGGACTCCTGATCTCCAGTCAGATGTGTAAGACAGGTATATCTCAAACCCAGCAAGTCTTTTAAGTGTGTTCTCTTCTATAATAAACGGTTATTATTTATATAATGCATGTGTCCTAATAAAACAAGGCCCAGACAAGTTGATATTTATCATGACGTACATGTTCAACAGTATTTGAATGTGTTATATTTTCGGATACGAGGCTAAAATTATTTTATTCATTATCAAGATTGGGAAACAGCCAGTTTCAATTTGTGAGATGGATTCTTTCAATGACCTTCAGTGATGTAAGCATGGTGTCCGGATTACGAGGTTTATATACAAAATAATGTATATAATTCGCTGTGAAATATTCATACCAATTAATCTCTCTCATTTTTGAAAATGTTTTCTTATAGAAGTGCTTCCGATCATATCGGCATGTGGGTTGGGGGTTGGGGGTTGGGGGGGATGATATCAAAAGATATTTTCTCTTTGGTAACCAACCAACACTGAACATCAATGTGAAATAAAGGAACTGTTGATTAAGAAGGGTGTTTTGTTAACAAACATATCAAGTCATACTGATGTAATTCACAGTATCTAAAAAACAGAGTCACATATTTATGTGTAAAGAAAATGTATACCGTCCCATGTTTAAACCTGTTTAATGGACACAAAAAGTTGTAGTCAAAGATAAAGATCTATTGCAAATTATGATATAAAGTTTGTGTAATGATATTTTACATCGTCTTTCATCCAACGAAATATCAAATGTAATAAGGCATATTTATAAAATGTCGGTCAGAATTGTCCAGTTTATTCCACGACTTATCAGTTTTAAATATTTTGTCCAGAGAAAAATGGCAACGGTCTTCGGAATAAATGCAGGAGTGATACCAGGTTTTAACAATTCATCTATTTATATAAGCGGTTCTACAGTCCATTCTGACATTGCATTGCATAATTTCATCTTTTTTTTTTCAATTTTAAAGTTGAAGACGTATCTTCTCTAAAAGAAACATATGTACATATAGCAGTTATGTTAGGGATGATAATTTACGACTGAAGGAAAACATATTTTTTATGTATTTGTGCATTTATGTCGTCTGGTTACTGTATTCTTCATCAATGGTTATTTTTTGCAAGACAATCGTCATTGTATATAGTACAGAGATTTTCCTTCCAAACAAATTATGATTTCCTGATATATGTGCAGTACAACATATGACATATAAATGATATGGTGATTAAGCGGCTATTTCCTTATATTTCAACATCGGGAAATGGAGAATTCGGCTTATAAACAATAAAATATATCCATAATAAAGGGATACACGCGCCTATGACGTCCAATTTCTTTTTTTGTACATGTTTTCGGCGTCGGAACATTGTTTATCTTGATTATTGTTTATAAACATGTTCACGCTCGGTTGATTAGGAAGAAAGCCGAGTGGGTCACATGGCTTGTCACGTGACAAAGTCATTTACTTTCACCTCAAAGAAAAAAATAGATTACGAGGTAAACAAACGCATATGTCTTATGTATGACACTTGCTTTTGCGTCTTTCTACTAATTTTTGTTTGCAGTAAATGATTCTAAAGTGTTATAATGTATAATTTTTAACAATTAGTCTTAGTTATTCGTTTCGTTTTAGCTTTGTCATGCGAGAATTATGTATGTCAATCGCGGGCGCTAAACTAATGGGGCCCCAAGGGGGTAATTACAATCGGATAAGAAAAAAAACTCATTGTGCAGAAATGCGCAGGAATTGATACTTTGTCTGTACATTTTAATATATATTCCACTGTTTTTTATGAAGTCTATGTTTATCATCACGGTTGTTATTCTTACAGTAACACCAGTACCGTCATATTTTCACACTTAGAACGAATACCCCCAATCGGGCCCACCTTGCAGTCAACAACAAACACACGTTGCCGATAGTAAATTAAAGCGAATAGCACAACTATTTTCATTCAACATTTATCAGATAACACTTTAAGTAGTGTTGTTCATAACATATTCACGCGTCAAACACTGAATATTGGATCATAATCGATGACAGGCGGATACGTTATAATCATATGACTGACGTTAAGCTAACCAGTCAAGCAACAGCTTCGCAAATTCAGTCCAAGATCCTCCTTCATCTTTCGATCTATCGATCTCCTGTCTAATATAAAGTCTTGTCTGTCCTCTTTTCTGATCTGACTTCTTCCTCTTACACTTTCTGGCACTTTCTGTAAGGTAACTTTTAGGTCGCTTTTTCGTATTTGCGTCTGTCATCATGCTGCTTTCTAGGCTTATACGCATGCGCAGCATCAATGTTACGAGCGGTAATGTATGAATTAGATCAAGAACGCAATGTTTACTTCCTTTATTTTTAGATATCAATAAAAATGGTTGCAGTGACTTTTAATTTAAGTAATTAACAGATAGTTTTAGTTTTGTAACATACTATTGGAAAATAGAACGTTTTATATCGTTTTCTCGTAGTGTTTTTTTTTAAACATAATAGTCGCTTTAAATTTAGAGATTGTATCACTGACAGGTTTAGCAGAATATGTCTGTTAGGTAACTTAACGTTATGTGACTGAGAGCTGTTCTATCATCATAACTCCGTCGAAAATTTACCAGTCTGAATTGTGTCTATATCTGATCTATCAGAATCGTATCATGTGTATTAGATCGTTGAGTGACCTGTACTCCTTTCAGTTTCGGGGTGATTGACACAGGTTACATCAAGAAATGTTGATTTTTTCCCATCCTTTGTATAATTTTATATATTCTTCTGTTCCTTTCTTGTGTTTCGTTTAGCTGTCATATCCTTGACTATTACTACTTCGCTTTCTCTTACACTTGTTTGGCATGGTCCAGCAATGGTCTCTCATTTATGTTTGCCAGGATTAATGGCATTTGATCCTGACTTTCCTAATCAAAATAAACATTCGTTAGTTAAAGTGAGACTTATTCCTTTTAACATTACATTCCTGACTGTTAAGTATGAAATTTCATCTTTTTACACCGCAATGCCTTCAGATTTCTGTGTGGTTTGGGGTCGAGATCTGCGTCGACTTTGATTCGTCTATAGAAGTGTCTATTTGCTGTGTAATAACCAAAGAGTTTCCTGGCAATGGGTTGAACAGGGCCTCCATATTCACTACCAAGTCTTATATATGTACTATTACGACATGTTTCATAAACTTTTTCGGTAGCACACAGTACCGGTATACGTTGAAATCGTATTTAGTGTCACTGGAAGCTTGCTTGATAGATTTTATTACGGCCTTTCGATGTTTCCAAGCTGTTGATATAATTAATTTGATTGTTATATTCGTTTACTACTTACACAAGCGGTTTATCTTGCTCTCATTGTTGACTGTATGCTTCTCCTCGTTTGTTCTCGTTCCATTTGACGATCAAGTGGTTCGGTCGGGTCAGAAACGGTAATTCGACTTGTTTGTTTATCTTTGTGTCGTTTTACTTCAACCTTCTACACTTTTCTGTTGTTCTGTTGTACTTGTCTTATAAACTTCCCCGATTTCTTTCTGATTTCACACGTTCTTAGCCTCATCAAAACTCATCAAAACCTTAGACAACACACCAAGTTCCTTCAACAATTTTTCTATGTTCAGTGGTGTAGTCGCTGTCGCTCCTCCATTGCCTATCATTCGCATGTTTTCTACTCGCAAACATTTTGCTACATGATCATTTGCTGTCACTTACTCGATAAACGGCCTAAGTTGTCTTGTCATTCGCAAAGGTGAATGTCACACATCTTTGACGCATGGCGTTGATAAAATTATGCAGGAATGTTTGGTGAATGTCCTGCCATATGTCTGATGTTCATTGTTCTCTTAGAATCCCTTGCCTAAAATATTGGAAATTCGAGGAAAAAAAATAGCTGAGCATTGAAGCGTAACGAAAGCAAGGTTCCAACTATTCAATTCAAACAATTTTAACAAGTTTTCAAAAATTCAAAAGATATTTACAAAATGTTCTAAAAGAAAATTTATTCTGATTATTTTTTCTTAAATTTTCAAGTGCATGCCAGTTCTTTTTCTCTTTCCTTTTGATATATTTCCAATACTTTGTACAGCAAATATGATGACATTAATAGCAACCGATCTATAACACACGTGCGTACATAAAATTTAGATAAGTGGATTATCCTTAAGGCTTGAATTGTTTCCGTCATAATCAACAAGACACATCACATAGGCACTTTCGAGTACTTTTCTTGAAAAGCTCAGCTGAACCATAGTCCGAAAATCCTGCGTATCATAGAACTGTTGTTGGTAAGAATTTGCAACTTCTTCCATCCATGTCAATTGTGGACTGATTCTGATATCGTCCCTTTTCATACTTCTTCCGCAAAGATCACAAACATTGATCCATTATCCGACATTATCACACTTGAAGATTTCCTTTAGAAATGTATTCTCTGTTAAACTCTGAACAACTTCGAGCTGACAACTCGCCGATTGTGTTTGACATGTATAGTGACAGTAAAATCTACCTCTGTTTCTATGAAAGGTACATAATCTGACTTTCTCGAATTGAGAAGTAGGTGATGGTTGAGGTGGGGTATACGCCTTGTCCTACATTTCTATAAAATACACCTATTTTCCGTAACGTAGTTCCAATAAAGATGGAATAAAGGATTTCTAAAGTTATAAAGTGATCATTTCACCTTCGTCATATCGGATCACTTACCAAAATCCTGTTAAATATAAGTGCAGCAAATAAAAAAAGGAAATGGAACGTTAATTTTAGACTGCATAACATTTCCATAATCACTGTTTTGAAAGATCGAAACATCACTTAATATGTTCCCATCACCAGCAAGTGACTGTAACGATTACTTATATATGCTGGAGCTTCTTCCCTCATGCTGGGTATAAATATTGAAAGCTCTAGCGATGTGAATACATCTTACTAAGTGTACTGTGTATGGAAGCTTTGTTGAACAACCAATGAAGTATCGTCCTAGTTATTGTTCCTGCGACATTGGTAAGAACGTGCAGCGCAGCCTAAAGCGTGCCTTTTGGCTCCAAAGTCGTGGAAGTTATTATTTGTACAGGGATAAATGTATTTCATTGACTAGAAGATATCTTGGTTAAACATTGTACATACACATTCCTTAACATTGCTCTTATCCAATCAAGTTTTAAACTTTCAGGTTGACTAAACCCCTTGGATGTCCACTTGTATGTGATTGTGAAGGGTGATAATAGTTTTCTGTCACGTAACAGTTTATACCATCACAGGACAGCAAATGCTACTAATAAAACCAAACACTTATTTATAAGTAACTACCAGTCTTAAAACAATTTTATCAGCATCACTGAAATTGTCGAAACTAATACAGGCCAGTACCGTTGTCAACGTCGCTGATTGGTCAATTCTTCTTTACGAAACCAACGTGCATGTGCGAAATGACGTGTTGAAGAGAGTGCTCGCCATAGTTAATGTATTGAAATTAATTTTAAAACTGTTTCCACACACAAGCCCCAGTTTTCGTCGCGGAAGTACTGTTTAAAATAAAGTACACGTCAAGCGTAAGTTTAGATATATAATGCGGTTTACGTAATTGATACCTGTACCGTAGATAAATGAGTTTCCGAACGATCTTTTTATTTTAATACACAGCTGCCGTAGCATGTTGTATTCCCTCAATTTACGCTACAACTGGATAATTTCCGAAACCTCTTCTTTTCACTTATACCATTTCATCTCAATCCCTCTCATTTTATTTCTTCAATTTTCACAATCACACACGCCCACATGCACTTATTCCTTCTTACTGTCTGATGCCGTATCGGATGTGCGACAGAAATGCAGACAACATTTTGTATGTGTAAAAACTGTTTCCGAGTTTGATTTAAATATCAATAAGCTCATATTGTATAATGTATACAGAGTACGTAAATCTGTTCAAATTAATAAAATTACATTTATATCAAAAGTGTGTACACAAACAACCGAGTGTCATTATCTATATGTAAATATGTAAATGGTAAGTTATTTGCCTACGTGCGTGATATACTATTATAGACCATGTTATATATGTTACTTACCATCAAAACTGCAAATATGATGCAATTGCGAAAGCTCATTGGGAATACACTTTTCACAGAAGAAAATGGATCCCTAATGTGTTTAATAAATATTACCAAAATAATGTTTGATCGGTTATTCTATTGTCAACAAGCAATCATGAGCATTTGGCCATATTGATACAAACTGAAACTTACTTCTGTATATTATATAGACGGATTCTATGACAGACAGTTGTTGTAGATCTACCTGCCACCAGACCTCGGTCTGTCCGCCCGCAGTGTGTATACAGCAATCGGAATTTACAGTTTGCGTGGAACATCCATCTACGGCTTTAGAGCTGTCCCACCTTGCGTTGAAATCAGAACTTTGACTTGTGGGTTTATCCAGTGCAAGGTTTACTGAAAAAAGAAGTTTAATTAAATAAAAAAAGAAAGGTTTATTAGATTTAATGACAAATTTTTTGTCTAAAAGTTCCTTGTGTATAACATTTTGTATGTAAAAGTTATTAGTGGTGTGTATGTTATCTACAATGGAATAAGTGCTGAATACTTCAAATTACATTGAATACAGTTACAAACCTACATGTACATAAAGAACATTACAGTTTATCAGCGCGGTACACAAACAGTACAAAACCCGTGATTCCTTTTGAACCTGAAAGTATTAATTTGTATTCTTCAGCCTCGGATGGCGAATTCCGCTTAACCGCTTCACAATGAACTTATATCCGTATGTCGATATCACAATAAAACAAGATATGTTCATATTATATTTTATTGTATCTCACAGTCCCAATATAAATGTTGAGACAATGTAATGAGAAACGATTTTTTCTGTAATTTACTTTTTTACCTATCGGTATCATTAAGAATATAGATTTTTCTATACAGTTTACGTATCTTACAGTGAAACAAATTACGAGTGTGCTTACATTCCTTACATAACCTGAAAAGTAATACCTTGTAGAGTAAAGAATTAATAATATTAATAAAGTAATAATGTCCTGACAGACTAAACAAAATTGGCTACTCAATTGTCAAGATTATAATTGTGGCTATTTTGGAACTATATGTGTATTTCACTCAAGGTATTGGGTTTAATAGCTTAAGATCAGTTATGAAATTACAAAGATACAAACATGTTTATTTTAACTAGAACAATAGTACATTGATGATTACTGACACATTGCAGTACATCTGTATCGTCCGTACGGGATATATTCTTTGGTCCATCATTTAATGATATATTGGGTACATTATATGTACATGTAATGATCAGGGCATATACAAGTTCAACCTGTGACTTATGTTTCATCTGTCTTGCAATTGATATATGTTGGCAATGACATAACGTTTTATGACATCGATAAAGAATTGTTAAATCTTATTCAAATCATACCTTCCTCGTCCTAATTGTTCCTTCGTAGTTTAGTATCAAAAGAAAGAATATCCTAACTGAGTAAAAAAACCTTGAAAACATTTACGCCTTTGGAATTTATGCTTCATTTAAAATCGGGCTTATCTCATGCCTACACCTAGTATTTTGATTCAGTTGTTCTTTGGCATATTGATATCATGTCCGGTTTTATATATGCTGGAACACATAGATGTATATATGTGAGTGATTTTATTGTTATAAACTGTTAATGAAAACACCTTAACTATGTTGTATGGTGCTATGATGAAATGAAGGGTTTCAATGAAGTTACACACATTATAGGGATGGTGATATGAGAATGGTGTGTGTATGGGTTTGTGTGAGGCTGTGTGGAGGTGGATGTGGACAGGAGTGGGGGTGAGGGTGTGGGGGATGTGGAAGGAAGTGGAGTTGAGGGGGGTGTGGAGGATGTGGAAGGAAGAGGGGGTGGGGGTGTGGGAGATGTGGCATGAAATGGGATGAAGGTGTGGGGGATGAGGAAGGAAGTGGGGGTGAGGGTGTGGGGAATGTGGAAGGAAGTGGGGTGAGGGTGTGGGGATGTGGAAGGAAGAGGGGGTGATGGTGAGGGTGCGGGAGATATGGAAGGAAGTGGAGTGAGGGTGTGGGAGATGTAAAAGGAAGTAGGGGGTGATGGTGTGGGGGATAAGGAAGGAAGTGGGGGTGAGGGTGTGGGGGATGTGGAAGGAAGTGGGGGTGAGGGTTTGGGGGATGAGGAAGGAAGTGGGGGGTGAGGGTGTGGGGGATGTGGAAGGAAGTGGGGTGATGATGTGGGGGATATGAATGGAAGTGGGGTGAAGATTTTGAGGATGAGGAAGGAAGTGGGTGATGTGGAAGGAAGTAGGGGTGAGGGTGTGGGGGATCTGGCATGAAGTGGGGTGAAGGTGTGGGGGATGAGGAAGGAAGTGGGGGATGAGGGTGTGGGGATGTGGAAGAAAGTGAGGGTGAGGGTATGGCGGGTGTGGAAGGAAGTGGGGTGAGGGTGTGGGAGATGTAAAAGGAAGTAGGGAGTGATGGTGTGGGGGATGTGGAAGGAAGTAGGGGTGAGGGTGTGGGAGAAGTGGCATGAAATGGGGTGAAGGTGTGGGGGATGAGGAAGGAAGTGGGGGTGAGGGTGTGGGGGATGTGGAATGAAGTGGGGTGAGGGTGCGGGGGATGTGGACGGAAGTGGGGTTAAGGGTGTGGGGGATGTGGAAGAAAGTGGGAGTCAATGTGTGGGGGATGTGGAAGGAAGTGGGGGTGAGGGTATGGGGGATGTGGAAGGAAGTGGGAGAGAGGGTGTGGGGGATGTGGAAGGAAGTGAGAGAGAGGGTGTGGTGGATGTGGAAGAAAGTGGGTGCGGGGGATGTGGAAGGAAGTGGGGTTGAGGGTATGGAGGATGTGGAAGGAAGTGGAGTTGAGGGTGTGGGGGATGAGGAAGGAAGTGGGGGTGATGGTGTGGGGGATGTGGAAGGAAGTGGGGGTAATGGTGTGTGAGATGTGGAAGGAAGTAGGGGTGAGGGTGTGGGGGATGTGGCAGGAAGTGGGGTGAAGGTGTGGGGGATGTGGAAGGAAGTGGTAGTGAGGGTGTGGGGGATGTAGAAGGAAGTGGGGGTAATAGTGTGGGGGATGAGGAATGAATTGAGGGTGTGGGGGATGTGAAAGGAAGTGGGGTTGATTGGGTATGGGATGAGGAAGGAAGTGGGGGTGAGGGTGTGGGGGATATGGAAGGAAGTGGGTGTGAGGGTGAGGGTGTGGGGGATGTAGAAGGAAGTGGGGGTGATAGTGTGGGGGATGAGGAAGAAAGTGGGAGTCAATGTGTGGGGGATGTGGAAGGAAGTGGGGGTGAGGGTATGGGGGATGTGGAAGGAAGTGAGAGAGAGGGTGTGGTGGATGTGGAAGAAAGTGGGAGTGCGGGGGATGTGGAAGGAAGTGGGGTTGAGGGTATGGAGGATGTGGAAGGAAGTGGAGTTGAGGGTGTGGGGGATGAGGAAGGAAGTGGGGGTGATGGTGTGGGGGATGTGGAAGGAAGTGGGGATAATGGTGTGTGAGATGTGGAAGGAAGTAGGGGTGAGGGTGTGGGGGATGTGGCAGGAAGTGGGGTGAAGGTGTGGGGGATGTGGAAGGAAGTGGTAGTGAGGGTGTGGGGGATGCAGAAGGAAGTGGGGGTGATAGTGTGGGGGATGAGGAATGAATTGAGGGTGTGGGGGATGTGAAAGGAAGTGGGGTTGATTGGGTATGGGATGAGGAAGGAAGTGGGGGTGAGGGTGTGGGGGATATGGAAGGAAGTGGGTGTGAGGGTGAGGGTGTGGGGGATGTGGAAGGAAGTGGAAGTGTGGGTGTGGGGGATGTAGAAGGAAGTGGGGGTGATAGTGTGGGGGATGAGGAATGAAGTGGGAGTCAATGTGGGAAGGAAGTGGGTGAGGGTGTGGGGGTGACGAAGGAAGTAGGGGGGGTGAGGGGTGGGGGATGTGGAAGGAAGTGGGGGTGAGGGTGTGGGGGATATGGAAGGAAGTGGGGTTGAGGGTGTGGGGGATGTGGAAGGAAGTGGGAGTGAGGGTTTGGTGGATGTGGAAGGAAGTGGGGGTGTGGGGGATGTGAAAGGATGTGGGGGGTGAGGGTGTGGGGGATGTGGAAGGAAGTGGGGGTGAGGGTGTGGGGCATGTGGAAGGAAGTGGGTGTGAGTAGGGTGAAGGGGATGTGGAAGGAAGTGTGGTGAAGGTGTGGGGGATGTGGAAGGAAGTGGGGTTGAGGGTGTTGGGGATTTGGAAGGAAGTGGGGTTGATGGTGCGGGGGATGTGGAATGAAGTGGGGTTGAAGGGGTATGGGATGAGGAAGGAAGTGGGGGTGAGGGTG